TATTTTCTTCCGGTTCATTATCATCATCAATTCCGTCCTCACGACACAAATCACGACAAATCTCTATAGTTTTGAGAATATCTAAGCTCGATTCAAATTCTTGTCTGCGTTGTAAAATCAAATTTTCATTAGTAGTATAAATTTCAATAAACTTCATTTCAGCTAAAATTTCTTCATCTTCACTCCTAAACGGAATATGTAAAGTTACCATTTCCCGTTTATAATCTGACAAATTTTGAGACATGTTATAACTGCGATAACGAATTATTCGAGGCTTTTGCCGTTTTGTAACTTTTCCATCGCCGTGAACATTATAATAAGCAACAAATTGAGCAAGCGTGACATCACTTAATTCTTCAGGCCTTTTTTGATACTTGGTGAACCAGTTCTCTTTCCAAATGTCAGTTGAATCATCATCAATTCCCATTTCATCTAGCTCTTTAGTGGTTTTCTTGAGTTTTTGCCGCTCCTCCGGCCACATCGTTGGAATATAAACTATAACAGAAGAGCTTTTCGACATCGGCTCTCTTAAAAGATACCAGGCAGCTTCTTGATTTGGTATTTCAACACTGTTCAGCATCTCAACTCCCAATTTTCTTGTGATTTCCACAACATCGAACTCCGGGTGTTCATCCATACATTTGATGATTTCACGTTGTAAATTACTTATTCCGCGATTTGTTTTATTGACATACTCAGCTACATACTGGGCACACGAATATTCCTCTGTTATGAACTGGATGTCCATATTCGATTTTACCAGATTCAGAATAAACGGATTAAATGGATTATGCCATTTCTCACTGGGTTCGCGTTTTATAAAAACTCTTGGTCTCTTGATTCCCGCTCGAAGTATATTGCGATATTCATCATCTGATGAAATATTATTTTGCTGATAAAAACTATCAAAATCCTCATAATCATTATTTTCGAGATTAATTCGAATATTTCTGTAAGATTGCAAATAACGATTAAAACCAATTTCATCCTGTTGGATAGGTAATAAAATTTCTGTAGAACGAGAAGGCAAGAATGGAGCTTCAAAACGACATTGTTGAGGTCTATGAGCCGATATTCTTTTGTAACAGGTGAATGAGTGCTTGTGTGTTTGTAATTTTATATGCTCTGATGCTTCTTTCGATGAAATCGAGATAAGATGATTAATCAGTGAAATTGCATCCATTTTATTCTCGCCTAAAGCATCATTCGGTGCATTTGCAAGCCACAGTAATGTATGGGCATGTGGACTACCTCGGTGCTGAAATTCAATTCTTTTGAAATAATGCATCACATAATATTTTCCAAACGGACTCTTCTTAGGAGACTGTAATATATTCAAGAGTACGTTTACCAGTTTATTAAAATAGATTGCGCACGTTACAGAATCTTCATTAATCAGAGTAACTTTTTCAAGATAGTGTAATTCTTCAGCATCTTTTTTTGATAATTCGGCTCCATTATTTTTCAACTTATATAATAATTGAAGTAAATCAGTCCATCCAATTTCATTTGCACTAATAGTGAGAAATATTGTTGGTTTACCTAGCTGTCTAATCATTGCAAATAAATTTTTCTTTTTATCAGCCCAGTACCATAATGAATTGGGAATTGATTTCAGAAATGCAAAATTAGTTTCAATGCAATTGTTGACATAATCTTCATTTTCAATTTGTTCACGTGTGATTTTTGTGTCTTTTCCTATATGTTTGAAGGCAACTGTTAATGAATCACGAACTCGAAGTCTCATTATTTTCATTGCCACGTATAATACATGATGTGGAGTAACAGCACGACGGTCCGAGCGTCTAAGTTCACTTGTAGCCATTGTATATGGAGTTACTCGTACTCCATCACGAAACGTACGAAATTGGCCCAAATAAATTGCAGGAAAAGACAATTCCTCCGCGTGTTCATCAAAAAGTAAACTATGTGGAAGATTTTTTTCTCCTGGGGCTAATCTTAAATATTTTTCTTCATTCCACATCAATGTTTGCTGCTGAGATACCAGACTTTCTTCGATTGGTACGTGTTCGCTTATTTCATCTTGAGGTATAGTATCAATGTCATTGTTTTCGAAAAAGGATTCATCAATTTTGATATCATACATAGTATATAATGGCGACTTTAATAAAAATTGAAGCCAAATCTTTATTGTACCTTTGTTTATTATACCATGCAAATAACTCGATTTATGGATTTTCTTGCGTTTAATGTGCACATTGATACAGTGATCATCAGATAAACTTCTGGGGAGAGTACGAACCATTGAATCAATAGACACTGGAACATTGATTATTTGTCCATAAATACCATACTGACCGTTAACGTGTCTTAATCTCCTAATCTGCATGAATGGGATTCGCGGAGAAATCAATCGTTCAGATACTAAGTCTAATGGCGGTAAATAATCGGGCTTCTTCGGAAATTTGAATCCATTATAAGAAGCCATCACAGGAATACTATTATTATTTAAAGATGCTACACAGGTATTACAGAGAGCAACGTCCTTTATATCAAGATGAGGAACTATTGTTTTCAAGATTGCATTATGTTGAAGGGATGCAGATCGTAAGTCATCTTTAAACCACAGTCTTTCACAAACTGAGCACACATAACCAAATGAATTTCGAACAAATTTCTTTTGAAATTCATCATGAGCCAGATGATGACGATGAAAATCCGTGTAAGCCAGATGATTAGTTTCATGTTCTGATTGTTGAATTGATGTTGACTCAACAAAGTTCTGACTTTGGCTTGTGTGTTCTTGGATTTGAGCCTTGTTTCGGGCTCTATACTCTTTTGCACGCTCTGCGTCTGATTTTTTATGTTTTCGATGATTCACTATTGGAGTTTCCTTTTTTTTCCGAGCTCTATACTCTGCCATTCGCTGTGCAGCTGTTTTTGGATAATCACGGTGGATTGAAGGAAGATCACTCGTTGTTTCAGGTTCATTCACACAGTCATGGCTTGTGGTAGCGATTGATGCACTGAGTTGTGAGCAATGATGATGATGATGGACATCAACTTGTATAGTAATTGCATTCGAAGATTCCTCAGGATTTGTGGATTCTTCCATTATTGAATCTAAAAAGAATTAATTAATCAATTTACGAAATAAATCATAATTTTGATCGTAGATAACTGAAAAACTCTTACCTGCTGATTGGATCTTCGCTTTTTTTCGGGCTCTATACTCTTTTGCACGCTCTGCGTCTGATTTTTTATGTTTTCGATGATTCACTATTGGAGTTTCCTTTTTTTTCCGAGCTCTATACTCTGCCATTCGCTGTGCAGCTGTTTTTGGATAATCACGGTGGATTGAAGGAAGATCACTCGTTGTTTCAGGTTCATTCACACAGTCATGGCTTGTGGTAGCGATTGATGCACTGAGTTGTGAATAATGCCGATGATGGACATCAACTTGTATAGTAATTGCATTCGAAGATTCCTCAGGATTTGTGGATTCTTCCATCATTGAATCTACAAAAATTAGTTAATTGATTTACAAAAATTATATAACATATTTCAGAATTTATACTTTATGCCAATTAATTGATGTTCATTAAATTAGCAGTCGTATTAATTAATAAATACTATTTTAATGAAATCATATACATTGACCGATAGTTACAATCAGAAACTGAGGTTAACCTTAAATATCTTAAATTTAAAAAAATAAATACCACAATCCCACCCAAGTATTAGAAAAAGAGATATAATTACTTACTTTTGTTAAAAATCCACTGGAAAGTGAAAGTACTCTTCGTCTGAACCAACCGTGGTAGGGGCAAGAAAAAGATGGCGCGTAACGGAAAAATGTGACGCGTAACCGAAAAATGTGACGGTAAATTTTTTTCCAACGCCGATAAAGAAGTTTCACTTCAAAAACATATTTGTTTATTGACCACGATCTCAGAGCGTTCGTTTGCGCAATACACTAACTCTTAAGCAAACAGTCGTGAATGAAGTGTACCACAATAAGTTCGCACGTTACCGAATGACCGTGGGTTGTTGCGAAACCTCCAGTTTTATTTTCCTTATACCTCGAATAGAACTTAAAATTAATATTTTTATACTAAGGAACTTCTCCGGTGTCCCGCGACACCACACATCTTTTTGAAGTGAAACTTCCTTATCGGCGTTGGAAAAAAATTTACCGTCACATTTTTCGGTTACGCGTCACATTTTTCCGTTACGCGCCATCTTTTTTGTATTCATGTCTATGATAATAAAATCCTTTTGTTTAAACTTTATCTAATTTAACTTTATTTAACCAATTTCTAGAAAGTTGCATGTAGATCATTTTTCGAAAAATAAGGCCATAAACAAGTTTCACTTCTTACGTGTGTACACTAGTACACGCAAATATTTTTTTGAAGTGAAACTTCCTTATCGGCGTTGGAAAAAAATTTACCGTCACATTTTTCGGTTACGCGTCACATTTTTCCGTTACGCGCCATCTTTTTTGTATTCATGTCTATGATAATAAAATCCTTTTGTTTAAACTTTATCTAATTTAACTTTATTTAACCAATTTCTAGAAAGTTGCATGTAGATCATTTTTCGAAAAATAAGGCCATAAACAAGTTTCACTTCTTACGTGTGTACACTAGTACACGCACACATTTTTTTTTTAGTTTACCTATGTTTTGACCATTAACAAAATTAATACATAATTTTATCTTACTTTAAAAGACAGATAATGTAACGTAAAAAATAAATGTTGCAAAGATGATTAATATTAAAAATATCACATGTTAAACCTTTAAAACACTCTCCTGTAAAATTAGTAAGTTTTGAGATTATACAGTTTTAATGCGAGAAGACGATAGGTGTTCAATGGGGTAGGGCCAGGGTTAGCAACACTCCGGTTTGAGCCCTGTGAGCTCACCTATACGTCAAGGCCAAGCTGAAACAGCCTTTCAAAGCTATCAGCATAGGTAGTTGTGATAACGTGTCTCACATCAAGGCTAGCTAGCGGTAAGTGGTTCGGTACGTACATCTCTTGCCGAGGGCGGAGGCCTGCGCCATGGCGAGCTGGTAGGAGTACAGCAGCGGAGTGAACTGCATCATGGCCGCGGCCGCCGACATGCCGCCCGACCCGCCCGCGCCGCTCAGACCTGCCCGAGGACATCAGGACCGTTACACAACCAATATTTCAATAAAGTACGATCATTCATCCAGAGACAAAATTACTGGTGGTAGGACGTCTTGTGATTCCGCATGGGTGGGTACCACCATCCTGCCTATTTCTACTGTGAAGCAGTAATGCGTTTCGGTTTGAAGGGTGGGGCAGCTGTTGTAACTATACTGAGACCTTAGAACTTATATCTCAAAGTGGGCAGCGCATTTAGGTAGATGTCTATGGGCTCCAGTAACCACTTAACAACTAGGTGGGCTGAGATCGTCCACCCATCTAAACAATAAAAAAAATCGAGGGTGAAAGACTATCTAGTTTAAGCCACATATATCTTTAAAATTAAAGATGCATTTTATTTGGTATTGGTATCAACAATTCGATGTTTTTAATTGAACTTCAATTATTACTACAGTATATACACTATAATTCAAGTTTTTTTTTTTTCTAAATTTTAAACTACTTTACTTTTTAACTATATTTCTAAATTTTAACCTACCCGCGCGAACTGACAAGAGGTTCTACCACCAGTAAAAACCACCACATTTATTAAAAAAGGTTATAAGAGTCGATGTATCGGTCGAGTCCAGTCGGGACTTGCCTCTGAGCAGCTGGTGCTGGAGAGCCTGCATGGCGGCGGCGCTCTGCTGCTCGAAGGCCATCTGCGCGGCGGCCGCGGCTGCCAGTTGCTGGAACCAAAAGGACCCTTAACGAAACCATAAACTTAACAGTGACCATAGACACATTTAGCGGTAGACAGCGGCTTGGCTCTGCCCCTGACATTGCTGAAGACTATGGGCGATGGTAACCACTCACCATCAGGTGGGCCGTATGCTCGTCTGCCTACAAGGGCAATAAAAAAAAAAAAAAAAAATTGCTTAAAAAAAACTAACAAAATACGCTTTTATAGAAAATCCAACTAAAAATAGAAAATAAATGTTAATAAATTTTAATTTAAAAATAGTGTAGGAAAAAATGATTTTATTGTAAAAAAAAGCGTGGGGTGCTTTTCAGGATATTATCATAATAACCCTTCTACTCATATCTGTTCATAAAATATAACTACTGATACCAAGTTCAAAGATTCCGTTACATACTAACATACATACACGTCTGAAGCTAATAAAAGCGTATTAATATAAATACATCAATTAAATATTTTAAATAAAATCACTTCTAGGGTATAGCTTTACAAAAACAAAAAAATTATGAGAAATAAAAGGACAAATCAGTGAACATACATTTATAAAAAAAAAAACATCCAGCCGAACATTGAACCTCCTACTTTTTGAAGTCGGTTAAAAATATAATCAATAACAATCATATTGTACCTGATGCTGTTTGCTGGTGCTGCCCTGGGTGGTGCTACTCGAAGAAGAACCTGCAACACAAACAAACATGATTTAAACCTTGTTTTTTAATGTCTGTCTGCATTAATAAGTTAATAATTATTGTTACGCCGTAAAATTAGTCTAATAACAAATTTCTTTATACTTTTAGGCATAACGAACTCACTTTTACTCTTTTTCGCAGCCACCTCACTAGAGTCGCGGCTGCCGCGTTCTGAGTGGTGGCTGCGTAGCGACTCCGATGACGTCAACGGCCTAAAACAAATACATAATTAATCTATATATTAATACGTCAAGCAAAAACTTTGTATCCCTTTTTACGAAAATTGCGCGGACGCAGGAGTATGAAATTTCCCACACTTATAGAGAATATAGAGAAGAAGTGCACAATGTTAATATTTTTTTTAAATAATGCATAAAAGATACATTAAATCAATAAAGAAAACATTACACATACTACCATGTATTTGACACAACACACGCATACCTACTATTTATTTATTGTCAAACTTTTGTTCTTGACGTCTGTTGTCAAATTGAGAATAGATTAAATATTGTTTGTCTTTATTAATATTTTTCTATAGTGTAGTCTTGGCGAAATTTGTGATTATAGAAGTATAATAGTCTTTGAAAATCGAATCATAATAGTTTACAAACTTATAATTTCAATTAATTATAGTCGAATTTCGACTACTGCGGGACTACTAGTACACTTTAACTCTCTAAAACAGCAACCGGGGTACCCCAAATGGGGTAAAAATGAAATTTTGGGGGGGCAAAAATGAAACTTTTGTGAGTAAAAAGTATATATTGAAGTGAAACTTCTTTAGAATCGTAAAATTTTTTGTTATTGTTTTTTTTCCAAAATTACCATGGGGTTATAATATTATGAAAGATGCTAAAAAGAAGCGATTTGGTTTTTTTTTTTTGTTCTTCGCCATGGGTTAATCAGTCAACTTACACAAAAATATTTTGGGGTAATAATTAAAAAAGTTCCCCGACCGCTGCTCTAAAATGAGATTATATGAGCTTACAAATAATGACTTAATACACAATTTTGAAGTCGTCGTGGCCTAAAGGATAAGACATCCGGTGCATTCGTGTGTAGCGATGCACCCGTGTTCGAATCCCGCAGGCGAATACCAATTTATCCAATAAAATACGTACTTAACAAATGTTCGCGATTGACTTCCACGGTGAAGACATAAATAATATCGTGCAATAAAAATCAAACCCGCAAAATTATAATTTGAGTTATTTCTGGTGGTAGGACCTCTTGTGAGTCTGTACGGGTAGGTACCACCACCCTGTCTATTTCTGCCGTGAAGCAGTAATGGGTTATGATTTGAAGGGCGGAGCAGCCGTTTTACTGTAAAAAGTGTAACCTTAAAACAGCTCATGTCTCAAGGTGGGTGACGGCATTTACGTTGTAGATGTCTATGGGCTTCGGTAACCACTTACATCTACATTTACATGAGTAAGCTCGTCCAGAAATCGTCTTTTCGCATTAAAACTGTAGAATCTCAAAACTTACAAATTTTACAGGAGAGTATTTTAAAGATTTAACATGTGATATTTTTTATATTAATCATCTTTGCAACATTTATTTTTTATTTTTTACCAGTTACATAATCTGTCTTTTAAAGTAAGATAAAATTATGTATTAATTTTGTTAATAGTAGTCAAAACAGGAAAATTAAAAAACAAAAACAAAAACTAAACTACTCTCTTTTGACAGTATTTATGAGAAAAATACTGGTGATACCAAATGATTTCGCATATTAACTCAATTTCGAATATTTTTTTAAATTGTACACTTTTAATGCGAGAAGACGATATGTAAGCAATAAAAAAAAATTCAACCTGTTCGCGCATGTTATTACGGTCGAATTTGGCTCGTCGAGGGAGCAGTAGTTGGTATACTTGGTTCGTGGTACCTGGTGGTGGAGGTGACGGGCGGCGGGGCGGGGGAGGGCGGCGCCGGCACGCTGCCGCGGGACGCGCTGCGGGACGCCTGCTGCAATGTACAGTCACAACTATTACTCCTCACAGAACATACGAACTGCCTTAATAGCGGGTTTCGCCACTTTGATTAAAAAAAATTAAATACTAAGTTATGAATGTCCAATGGTAGGTAACGCGCACTAATTCAGAGTTGAGAGTCGACCCCTTAGGTCGGAGTTTTTTTAAACTATTGCATAGCTTTTATCGCGGGCCTTGAGCGCCACAACCGAATCATGAAATTCCGTAACGAAAAAAACCTAACACCCCTCACTCCGCCTACCATGTAGCTCGCGTTCAACACATTCTAACGTTGGGCTTGTGTAGTATTTGGAAATAAGCGCGTGGCGTGACGTCACACTGCATGCGCATCATGAAAAGTCTGCCCATTTCTTTCGCGCGGTCTAGCTTATAAGTGGGAAGGGGACAGTTAATGTTTTGCTTTTATTAATGTTCAATATAGCGTGGTCTTGTTTTATTATTGTTTTAATATTAAATTATCATTGTCTAATTATAATTGCATTAGGTTATAAAAAATGCTATACAATAGCTTTACCGCGGCAGTTCCCGAGTGCCACACGTTTTTTTTTATTGCTTAGGTGGGTGGAAGAGCTCACAGCCCCCTTGGTGTTAAGTGGTTACTGGAGTACATAGACATCTACAACCGTAAATACGCCACCCACCTTGAGATATAAGTTCTAAGGTCTCAAGTATCATTACAACGGCTGCCCCACCCTTCAAACCGAAACGCATTAGTGCTTCACGGCAGAAATAGGCAGGGTGGTGGCACCTACCCGTGCGGACTCACAAAAGGTCCTACCAGCAGTAAAGAATAGGAGAAGAGTGGTCGTTCGCGGGGCGGACGGAACAAGAGGACTCGGGAATGCTGATCGTGCAGCTTGGTTAGAGCTGTCAACCCAATAGCCTTCATGGTAGGGTTATAATAGTACCGTGCGCGGTGTTATATGAGACTAGAAGTTAGTACAAAAAGGAGGGTACTTTTTTCTGAGTGATACATCTCAACTATGCCGGTATTTTTTTTAGCTATATACCTATAACAAATAATCAGTAAAATTTCGATTATTCCCATATATTCTGTTCATAGTGGATCATGTAGCTTTCTAAATAATTTTAAACTAACATCTCGTTATCGTGTTGTGGCAGTGCCGTGTTATAGGAAAGCTATCAGTATTCATTGTTGACTTTTAATCTAGTGCTTATCGCCTAGATGAAGTCGGGTNCGGGGGCGCGGGCGGCGGCGGGGAGGGGGCCGCCAGCCGCCGCTCGATCTCCTGCTCCTGCTGCAAGGCGCGAACGAATGCAGTCTTTAGCCGCGCCGTGTGCTCCGCCTGCGTACATATATAACACATGTACCAAACGCCACATTCAATTTATTGGATAATCTGTTAATCTAATAATAATTTAAATCTCGGTGCGATTTCGGTCAGCAAGTGTGCTGTAACTTTCCATATGTCTGTCAGCACTGTGTTGCTGTACTATGATTGATTGACTTAATGTGACTGACTGACTGTGACTGACTAGCTGTGATTCATTGACTAACTGACTGACTGTGACTGACTGGCTGTGATTGATTGACTGGCTGAATGTGGCTGACTAACTGACTGACTGTGACCGACTGACTGAATATGGCTGACTAACTGACTAAATGTGACAGACTGACTATGACTGGCGCCCATGAGGCCGCCTCGGTTTTTGTCATTCTACACTGCATGTCTAAGCAAATTAGTGGAGTGATGAAAAAATATAACATGTACGTACGGCTTGTTCAGGAAATCAATAGTATAAAAAATGGATATAACAGATTCCAGTGACCTTGAGCGCCCTCTTGACGTTCCCGGAGACGCAGAGCTCGCACAGGCGGCGCGCGTGCGGCGCGGGCGACACGCAGAACGTGGCGTCCTGGCGGCGCGCGGGCGGCCGCTCCCAGCGCCACACCGGCGTGAAGTCGCACCCGCACTGCGCGCACAGCGCCGGCACGCTCGAGCGCGGCATGCTGCCCCGACACACACGCTCGTAATCACCGATGCAATACAGTAAAAGCTCTAATATGCCGCGAAATCGTCGTGGCTTAAAGGATAAGACGTCCAATGCATTCGTATCGAGTGATGCAACGGTGTTCGAATTTTATATAATATAATACCAATTTTTTTAATGAAATACGTACTTGACAAATTTTCACGATTGACTTCCACCGTGGAGGAATAACATAAATATAGATAAATGAAGAATACTAAAGAATTGGATTTTTTGCCTTGAAATATCAAACTAGATATGAAAATGTAAAACTTAAGAATTGGCTGTATGGGTTAGTTTTATTGCCTTTCTCTTCGCGAAAAACTCAACTACTACTACTATTACTACTAATTTTTTTTAAGGTGTTTATTACCTGACAACTAAGACCTTTAAGTCATGTCTTATTTAAAATATTCTTATTTTTATGAAAAATGATAAAATGGAGTGAAATGAAATGAAGATGATTAATTTGAGACATTGAAATGAGATGAGACGATATGGGATGAAATATAATCTCAGTAAAATGGTGGTCATTTACTGAAATATTTTCAGTGGACTTTTTGAAGGATCCTGGGAAGTTACGTTCAAAGCGGTTTTGTTTGATTTTCCCACATTTGTGCACTTTCACAGATACTAAACAGTTAACAAACCACCGTTATTACACATTTAAACTTGAAGAAACACTAAATAGACAAAATAAAACCAAATCACACAACTTCACTCCCCGCGTTCCCGCCAAAAAGTCTACTACTACTACCATGAATCAGTCCACAGATAACAAAAGCTAATATAGAGGACGGCACTGACCGCCGGTCATCTTTCTCGTCGAACCCGTCGCTTACGACGAAGGGCTCGACGAGTAAATTAACTCTCAGACACAGCCCACTGAGTTTCTCGCCGGATCTGCTCAGTGGGTCGCGTTTCCGATCCGGTGGTAGATTCTGCGAAGCACGGCTCTTGCTAGGGCCAGTGTTAGCCACATCATCAGGTTAGAGTCCCGTGAGCTCACCTACTAGTTAAGGGGACGCTGATATAGCCTCTCAAGGCTATCAGCTTAGGTAGGGGAAAAAAAAGGCACTGACCGGTCCTCGTTTGTCAAGTAGTCGACGACGTGCTCGAGGCCCACCAGGTACACGAAGTCCGTGTTGCTCGGGGAGGGGATGAAGTTCATCTCGGGCGGTGGAGGCTTCGGGGGAGGGATCTGGAAACGATTTGTTACGTCACGCACACCAATTTTGTTATTTATTTATTGCCCCTGTAGGCAGACGGGATACGGCCGACCTGATGGTGAGTGGTATTTTTTTTTCCTGCTTTTCCCCGGTATTGGATATCACCGGGCCCTTTTTATTCTAGTTAACACATTCACTCCAGTTCTCTCTTTCATGCCTCCCGCACTTACATGCTTCATACTGTGTCTTTCTTGCATTCATCATCTTTTTTTTCTTAGCCGGGTGGGACTCCCACTAGCTTAATCTGTTACTGTGTTTTATTTTCCGGGGTAAATAAAGTTTTGCTCGTTTATTAATAACTGTGTTACAGAATATCGTTTGGAACTTATTTCTATTTTATGGCTTATATTATTCGATGGTGAGTGGTTACCGTCGCCCATGGACTTCAGCAATGCTAGGGGCAGAGCCAAGCCGCTGCCTACCAAACTTACTTGCAATAGCGTCTTCTCTAGTTGCTTCCGTAGGGCCAGTTTAGCGGCCGCCTGCCTCTGCGCCGGCGTCTGGGTGTCTTCGGAACTGCGCGTGCTGGCCTGAGGGGACAACACAAGACATCAATAGGAAGGAAGTCTTAGGAAGCTAAGACGCTGGGTTTAATGGCTATGGTATGGAAACATCTTTTTTTTCTACCTAAGCTGATAGCCTTGAGAGGCTATTTCAGCGTAACCTTAACTAGTAGGTGAGCTCACGGGGCTCAAACCGGAGTGTTGCTAACACTGGCTCTAGCAAGAGCAATGCTTCGCAGAATCTTACACCGGATAAGAAACGCGACCCACTGAGAAGATCCGGCGAGAAACTCAGTGGACTGTGTCTATGGGTTTATTCGCTCGTGGAGCCCTTCGTCGCAAGCGACGGGTTCGACGAGGACGGTGACCGGTGCTTGTGGTACCTAAAATCATCGTTGATAGATCGGGAGGATCCGTAATGACGTGTTTTGGGCAGCTTCTTTTGATTTGCGTTCAAAAGCAGCGGTTTTTCTTATTTTAATTTCACAGAAAGCGTAACGAAAAAACAATTTTTTTACGACTGCTACTATATTGCTAGGTGACTACTGGACGTGAGCACTCGTGAACACACTTCGCGTTATTCGCGAACTCAACGAAAAAATAATTTCATAAAGGAACACGCTGTATGCACACGTTTCGCATGAAACAATTCCAGCGGCTTAACTAATTTTGATACTTTATAAAATAAAATAAACTAATATAAATTATCTGCCTTTTTTAGTAATTAGTCTCATTTAAAATTGAATGAGGACATCACATTTGCATACTCACTGCATCGCTCGTGCTACTCGTGACGGATGAATTATCCTGAGTCGGCTTGTAATCACAAACATATCTTTCTATACTCTATATATTAGTAATCTATCTATAACCTATCTTTAAATTTTTATATATATTTAGTCTATCTATAAATTAATACGTGAGCAAAAACTTTGTCCCCCTTTTTGCAAAAACTGCGTGGACGGAGGAGTATGAAATTTCCCACATTTATACAGAATATAGAGAAGTGCAGTATGTTAATATTTTTTTAAATTATGGAACTGGAATTGGAACAGCGCCCCTAGCGGCAAAGGCGGGGAAGCACAGTGTTACCTTGGCGGGCTGGTGGTGCGAGGGCGGCGGCGGCGCGGGCGTGATGGTGACGGAGGGCGTGACGGCGGCGGCCTGCGGCGGCGCGCGGTACGAGCCCGGCGTGAGCGTGGCGCCGCCCGGCAGCGCGGCGGGGCGCGCGGCGGGGCGGGGGGCGGGCCGCTTGTTCTGGTGGGCGGGGGGAGGCGCGGGCGTGACCGTCACGCCGGGCGGCACCACGCAGCCGCTGCCCGCCAGCGCCGTGCCCGCGCCGCTCTCCTGCAGACACAGNCGCGGGGGGAGGCGCGGGCGTGACCGTCACGCCGGGCGGCACCACGCAGCCGCTGCCCGCCAGCGCCGTGCCCGCGCCGCTCTCCTGCAGACACAGATACGAACGACAACTTATTTTTAAATTTCGATAGGCAGCGGCTTGGCTCTGCCCCTGGCATTACTGAAGTCCATGGGCGACGGTAACCACTCACCATCAGGTGGACCGTATGCTCGTCTGCATACAAGGGCAATAAAAAATAAAAAATAAATTTCTAATAAGGATTATTCTGCCTGTATGGAACGACAACTTACTTTTCAAAAATGGTTAATGGTAATGAGGAATATTCTTCCTGTATGCGTCATTTCTGTTTATATGTTATTCTATAAACAGGCATAAGCCTGCAAGACATTAGGATCAATAGATGTAATTTATTTATTGTTATATTATGTGAATGGATGAGAAACAAATTGAACAATAGCACTCAATCTTGTTCATGTTTCATTCTATATTGAAACTTACAATATACAGTAAACATTTGTACTATACATGTATATTATAAGTTCAAGTTGAAATCAATAATATTAAAATAATTGTTGAATAAATAAATTTATAATATATAGTAGATCATAAAAGTATTTGTGAACGTTTTGGTACAGATTATTCAAATTGATGTGTGTTATCTGTGCAACTGTTCTAAGTGACAATTTATTCTGATGTGACTTGAAAGCAAATATAATTCATTGTGTCCTTTATAAGAAATCTGGTTAGAGTTTTATTGAAATACTGCCAAATTCCAATAATAATAACAATAGCACTCGTGGCATCACTTGTCATCATGAACCGATTAAGAGCTGGGCATACCTTAGCGGGGGGCAGCCCCGTGGCCTGCTGGGACTGCCTTATCTTCCGCAACAGGACCAGTCGAGTTTCTTCAGCCCGCAGCTTCTCTCTGAGAGCACGTAGACGACGATCGCGCTCCCATATTTCAGCACTCGATAACTCCTGTACAAAGTTGCATTACTTGCATTAAATTACTTAACTGCATTATCACAATTAAGAGCATGAGTATGAATAATTTTATTTCCTTCAGATTTAAATTTGTTATAACAGCGTTTTATTAACTCTTCAAAATCTGTAAAAATACTAAAATGTAGGGAAATAAAACAAAGCCATTGGACGAAATTTCTTGAGTTCTTTCAATATATCCACTGAAAAAGCCTCAGAAAATAACCAATATACCAAAAATATACCAACCTTACTGAATAGAAATTAAATCTCACAATAAAAGATAAAGATTTCAATGGACATCTAACTCTGTTAATATCACTATTAAGATTAAAAACAGCCAAAGGAATAGCTCATTGTTAACTAAAACCAATCGCTACGAGACAATAAAAAAAGTTAAAAAAAAAAACTCCATTTTACTGACACTATATTTCAGCTCATTTCGCTTCATATCATTTGTCATATTATAACAGAATGTCAGAAGAAAATATAAGACTTGCCTTAAAGGTCTCGTTACTAGACCATAAAATTAAAAAAACAGTTCTCAGACAGAGCACACATTGGACACATAAGTTCGCTCTGATGGTAAATCTCAATGACCGAATATAACCATTACCTGATCTCATAAAATCTAAGTTGTCTAAACTGAATGCATGACGATAAATGTGAACTCATGTAAAGCATAATGCAAAATCAGATCAAGAATTGTGGAGGTGTAGTACATACATGTCCTGGATTAAAAATTTATACCAGCAGTACAAGAGCATCCTTCTTTTCAGTGCTGCACAGACCTAAGTGGAAATATATCAATGCTTGCTCACATCTGATAGGTATTATAATAGGAAAAATGAGAAAAAAACTCACTCTGTGTCCGGGTATGGCCAGAGGCGGTTCGTTCTCATCGTCTTCAGACTCTTCGTCATCGCGAGGGTCACGTGGCGATTCGGGTGCTGGTATGGATACGCTCGGTGTTATTGACACGTTCACTGATGAGTTCAATTTGCTGCTTACATCTATCCCATAAAAACAATATGAACTCAGTCATAACTAGGCTCTGACGAACACCAGTCAACATGAGTCTCAAATTTTATGTTTAAGATTGTTTTAAAGTAGTTATAGACCTAAAAGTAGAATAGATAACTTTATTTACTGAGATAATCAAATTATATATGTATAGTGTTCATAATATTGTCTTTCTTGTTGGCAATAGAGGTTCATATTTTTATAAATTCTAAAAAAATTAATTATATCTCTCAATTCATGGATCAATTATCCATTATTCCACAAGACAAACTACTATACTATACCTACTTATAAAGCATTTGAAGATTTAAATGATAATTATTCTAAACATCTATTAATTTGACATGTTTCTCTGTCACTTTAACCTTATGGTGTTAGAGATAGTAACTACTCAATATAAGATTAATCTCATAAGCCTGTATCTATCAAACAAATAAACAAGGCCAACATTACAAATGTTTCAGACAAAGATGACATTTCAGTACACCTATAATCTTGAATCAACGACTAACTAAACTGTGAATTGCTGAATTTATTTTGCTTACACTGACACTGATAATTTGGTTATTTACAAACTAATAAATACCAGTAAAAGGGGCAGGTGTTGTAGGTATTGTAGGTTTCCTGTGCGGTGGAGCGGCTGGGAGCAGAACAATGTCAGGACTCTCTGCATAGCTGCGCTGTTCTGAACGTGGGCGCAGCACCCGCTTGCCGCCGGCGCCCTAAATTAGTATTAAAAATTATCAAATAAACCCTAGACATAAAACATCATGACTACTGTAATCAAATAAAATCTTTTAAAATCGATGCAGCAATTTCTACAAACCAAAGCACGGAATGATTATTTTCTTTAATATTTTATAATCATAATTTTTTTATAAGAATATAATTTAGATTCAATATTCATAAGGTTTTTTTTTTATGGAATCTAGATGAAAAACTCCTAATATGCATAACATGTATTAAAATATATTCACATTTAAAAAAACTTTTGAACACCTACCTTATCAATCTTCCCACATATTGCAGTCAAAAACAAAAAATAATAATTAGAATATGATAGTAAATTGACACATAAGTATATTTGTGGTAGAGAAACTGCATACTTCAGTTCCCATTCATGGGAAATTACACTAGGATTCTTATATGGTGTTTTTTTCATGGTTTAGGAAATATAATATGTTTTGAGATGCATACTATGTGAGATAGCAGTCTGAATTACTCTGGCCCAAAATCAATTACTTTGTGGAATATCATACATACAAGTTTTTTTTTAGTTATTATTTGTGCATACCACCCTTTTATTATCATCAGAAACTACAGGCATAAAAATAAGTATTTTTATATGACCCCGACCATCTAGAGCTACTATCCTAGTAGCAGTAATATAACTCTATTTAACACGTTCAAGACTATTTGAGGCATTTTTAGCCCATGCTTATGAGGACTTTCCAAGGCAAGATTGGACTTGTTTACTCTATGAGACCTTATAGGCCTGAAAAATGTTTTCGAACATACCCATACTTATAGAAATGTGGACTTGTCGCCTTATGTACCAGTTTTGACCACGGCATCAGGAAATAGTCATGTGTGGGGCTTTTAAGTCGCATAATGCACTTAACGTGTTAATGCTCTCACTAAAATGCATACTGACTTGTAAGCAAGGCCTGGCAGTCTCAATGGCTACCATCAGGCAAGATACAAGTCCAAAAACCAAACGCCCAATCCAAATATAGCTTGACTACAATGACTTTGTTCTATGTGTAATAAAGAGCATAAAGAAATGTTCATGTACATTATAATTTTTTTGCATCAAGTTATTTATACATACATGTGGTGGAGGCTGCGCTGGGGTTATTGTTAAACCACTTGCCGTTAATGCTCTTAGCTCACTTAGTTCTGGCGGTAAAGACCTGAAAAAAATAATATAAATTACTTTGATTTTTCAAGTGTTTTATTTTATTTTATTACACTATCATGCAAATGGTAGTAGTAGAATTTTTTATTTACATGTATATCAACAGTAATGTATACTACATTTCTGGGTTTGTTATTTGCAAACTTATTTAAAATTACTTTTACAGTTTAATCTTGCATTTATTATTATCATTTTAATATTTTATATATATTTTCTGCCTAGTTCTGAGAACTATTTGTAAAAAGATATAATGTTGACATTACATTTTATATCAATAATGAAATTTAGTACATATATAACAAGGACACATATTGGATGAGAACAGCTGAGAGACTATATCTAAAACATAAAACAGATTCTAGGCCAATAGTTCCCTATGAAATAATTTAATATAAAATTTATGGCATTTTCTGTCCATGGTGTTAAAGACTTGTTGTTACTGTAAATTTATACAAGTGCTAACTTGAAAAGTGATTTTATTTAGTATTTTTCAATATTTTTTCCTGTCACGTTTTTCTAAGGTAAAACTGCAAATGTCAATATTGATATTTATTTAGTAGTCCTTCTATTTATAACATACCTTATGGATGATTAAATAAATTAAAATTATAATTTTCCCTAATTGTAGATTTTGATTAAATGAATTGTTGTAATAGACAAATTAATAAATAAAAATATATGTACATGTGAGTAGTTCACACATTTATTTAGAAATGCTGTTATAAAAAAATTTATAAATAAGTTGTTAAATAATACCACCTGACACTCAGATCAACCGCCGAATCGTCAACGTCCATTTTTCAATCCTGTAACAATTAGGCAAATATCTATTTAAATCGATAAGCCGATTATCACAGTTACCGACGAATTACATAAAATAAACATTGAACTTTTTATTTTAATTCACTCAGAACACTGTAGTATAGTTTTATTATTCAACCATAATGATAGTTATTATAGTAATTAATATATTCAATCATCGATTATCGTAATGCACACGCACGCATTCACCAAAATGACAATTTAACCAAATCAAGATTCGTTTGGTTTGTGGATGTTTAAGCGATTTCGAAATATTAAGTTGCTTCCGAATCAATTAGCGTAAAAAATATCATTTTGCAATATTTTAGATAATAATTTGTTACTGCATCATTAATTTCATATGAAAATATAATCACCGCATCCAAAGAAACACTCACAATCAATAATACAGAACAATAAATATGGCAACTCGCCGCCATTGAAGTAATTTTTGTCATTTGGCTTTGACAGACAGCTTTTTTTTTATACGTCAATTTTTAGACAAATGGTTTTATGGACCAGTCTAGTCTATTCAATCTAGCTTACTATAGTCTAGTCCAGTCCAAACTAGTCTAGTCTAGTCTAGTCTATTCAGTGTTTTTAATGGTTAAAAAACCCGTAAAATAAAGGTGCTTATACCGAGTACCTACTAAAATTTCTAAGTATTTCTGTTCCTGTTGGACGTTTATATTTGAAAGGACTATGTTCTGGAGCTGAAGCACTGTGCTTCATGGTTAATATAATTCAGTCATATCATTTCAGCCTATTCAATTTCATTTTATTCATTCCACTTTATTTTTGTTACAACTGGCATGGCATTGTCTTTATATTTTCTAGTTATTATTTTTTTACTGTAGATTTTTATTTATTTCATCTACGTTCCTTTACCTGTAAAACAGAATATGTATACATGAGATAAGATTGTATGGTGCGAAAGCTTCACCTTTCCAGTTGGAAAAATTGAATTACTACGAAAACCTTCTTTAAAATCTATTCATAAGAACTTTTTGGCGGGAACGCGAGGGGTGAAGTGGTGTGATTTGTTTTATTTTGTCTATTTAGTGTTTCTTCAGGTTTAAGTGTGTAATAACAGTGGTTTATTAACTGTTTAGTATCTGTGAGTGTGCACAAATGTGGGAAAATCAAACAAAGCTGCTGAGCGTAGCTTCTCGGGATCCTTAAAAAAGTCCACTGAGAAAGTCTAAGTAAATGACCACCATTTTACTGAGATTATATTTCATCGCATATCATCTTATTTCATTTCATTTCATTTCACTCCATATTATCATTTTGCATAAAAACAATAATATAAATTAAAATGAGAAATGACTTAAAGGTCTTAGGTACCAGGTCATACTACCTTGAAAAAAAAAACACGATAACATAACCTACAAAATAAAGTTTAAAAAATAATTGAACGAAGATATTATATTTATTAGTCTTTATTCTTTATTATCCATTTTGTTAACCATATCCAATCTCATGAATTATTAGAATCACCGTGAATATTAAAAACGGAATCGACTATGATAATATAACATAGTAAAAAGCAAATATTTTTAACAAAACAACTCAACATATTGAACAATTCATTAATTGATAATGTGTTTTTGTTAGAAGTTAAATAATGCCCGCTGCCGATCTACTCTCGAGTCAAGGACTACGTCTTGACGGGCGGAGACCCAATGAATTACGTCGGATAAGATGTAAACTTGGTGTATTCACCCAGCCTGATGGAAGTGCGTATCTCGAACAAGGAAACACGAAAGTGCTTGCAGCCGTGTATGGACCCCATCAGGTATATGATACAAACAATTTACAAATACTGATAGATTAGTTTACCGTGGAAAAACGTCTGTAAGTCTTCCGGAGTAAATAGTCATCACTATCCCGCTACTTCTGCTACAAAATTGCACTATTTCTGCTACAAAAGTGTAATGCCTTCTGGCTTGAAGAATAAGACAGCTATTTTACAATATTGAGGTATCGACCCATGTGCAAAGGTCGCATTCACGTCTTGATGTGTTTCAGCTTTAGTAACAAAATTCTTACCAAGTAGCTCCTAACAAATATGTATTTACACATTTTAGGTACTTCATTTTCAGACATGTTCTTCATAATGGAAAAACCTTCATTAACATTTAAATTGTTTTTCAGGCTTCAAAATCGAAGATGTCCACAGAAGCTGTAGTTGTCAACTGCCAATACAGCATGGCTACATTCTCAACAGGTACCTATTGAGAGTTCAACATATTTTCAAAAGCCTCTTCAAATAAATGAGATTATATATAGAGAAAAAAATCTGTATGAGCTTAATCGCACATTAAAAATACACAAGTTAATAACATCCGTGGATTTCCAATCAATCTTAGAATTAATTTCGGTGTGTACATTTATTTGTTCCTGCACATCATCAGACCTACTGAACCAGATACGTTTGCTACGTACGTGTAGTTTTTTATGGTGGACAAAAATTAGTTTGTAACAGAATAAAGGTTCTGTTTTATTTGAATCAAAAGATGAAAAAAGTTTTCATCATTTAAAGTTTTATGGAATTTACTTAGTGCCATTACATGTTAGAAAATATACAGCAAATAATAACATGAAAATGAAAGAAACTCTACTATGGGAAATTAAATAGGATGCATTTCATCCCAGTGCTAAGCACAGTCATCAGTAGGCAGCACTTTGGCTCTGCCCCTGGCATTGCTGAAGTCCATGGGCGACAGTAACCACTCACCATCAAGTGGGCCGTATGCTTGTCTGCCTACAAGGGAACAAAAAAAATTCTCCAAATATAATATGTAATTTAGGTAAGCAATATAGCTGGCAGATAGGCAGTTATATTATAAATGTTATACATTTGAAAACAATACAATTATGTAAGTGATAAACCTGCAGAAGTAGGTACTGTTATATGTTTACAATGAAGCAATCATGCTTTGCAGTTTCATAATACATTTGAGATTTTTACTGCCTCTCAAAATCGGTGGCATTATACACACTGCGATGTCTATGTATTCTACCCACTTAAAAGATAAAACTAAGATGTTCCCTCATCAGCACAAAAGAAAAGACTCCTAAGACAGACCTAAAAATAAGAATATTCTACTGACTACATAACTTATTAATGAACATTTCGCATCTAGGTGAACGAAAGAACCGACCTCGCGGGGACCGCAAGTCACAAGAAATGTCAATGCATCTCCGTCAAGCTCTAACTGCTGCTATTAAAACTGAAATGTATCCAAGGTCGCAAATAGATATTTACATAGAAGTATTACAGGTAACACATATTAACATTATTTTTAAATCTTATCAATGGCTTAAATGCTATTTGGGTTATGCGACATTTCGTTTACTATGTGATATTTATCTTTCTAATTAAAGGTCGGCTTTATTTAGTATTAGTATCAACAATCCAATGTTTTTAATTGAACTTCAAGTTCACCGCATTCAAATAGCTGAAGAAGTTTTTTTGTTGCGATATTTTTTTCATATTTTAAACTTTAAATGGCTCTCCTGTAAAGTAGCAAAAATGTCGCTTAAACCAAATGGCCTTTCACCCTTCCTTATGATAGCTGAGAGTCAGAAGCAGGTGACCTCACAGCTGGCTTGATGTTCACAAATGGTCTCAAATTTCAAAATATTCACTTTTTCCTATTTTTGTTCTGAAAGACTACTAGAAACTACATAAACAAAAATGAATGGTTGAATATTTTCTTTGTGTACCAGTGCTGGTTTCTCAGTTCCTAATATGAGCATTAGTAAAGGGACATACAGTTTCAATAGATAGGTAGTGGGATTATACACAAATAAATAATAGTTTAAAAAAATTAACAAAATAGAAACTAGAAACTTATAGAAAATCCAACTTCCACGCTTTTTTACAATAAAATCATTTTTTCTTACAGTATTCTTATTCCAAATTTATTAAAATTAATTTTCTCTTTTTAGTTGGATTTTCTATAAAAGCGTATTTTGTTCGTTTTTATGAACTATTATTTATTTAAATTTTTTAGTTGAATTTAAATTTTTTCAATATATTTTTTAAATATTGAATTGTCATCGGTTCATAATAAGTATACCAAATTTCGAGTTAATCCGACGTTTTGAAGGGGGTCAAAATCATGTTCAAAGATTCCGTTACATACTAACATACATACGACTGAAGCTAATAAAAGCGTATTAAAAAAAAGTGTGCAACCGAAGTTTGCCTAACGAGAAGCATATGATATCCACCCAGACCAGTCTTGTTTTAATAGGCCGATGGTGGTACGTATTGTGCCAGCGTGAATGCAGCCAGTCTAGCGCTGATAGACGCTGGTATACCTCTGAGAGCGTACGTGACCGCCTGCTCGGCGTCCCTGGGCCGACGAAGCGCCACCCACGAGCCCCTGGTAGACGTTAGTCACATCGAGGAAGCAGCCGATGGAGTATGTTTGACCGTAGCCAGCTTACCGAGCACAGGTTAGTGTAATTACCATGTCACTGCAACTTCAGATATTAATTGTCTCAAAGTAGACTAGGTAGACTCGATAATCGTCGTGGCCTAACGTGGTGGTGTTCGAATCTCAGGCGGGTCCCAATTTTTCTAATGAAATACGCACTCAACAAATGTTCACGATCGACTTCCACGGTGAAGGAATAACATCGTGTAATAAAAATCAAACCCGCAAAATTATAATTCGCGTAATTACTGGTGGTAGGATCTCTTGTGAATCCGCGCGGGTAGGTACCACCACCCTGCCTATTTCTGCGGTGAAACAGTAATGCGTTTCGGTTTGAAGGGTGGGGCAGCCGTTGTAACTTTACTGAGACCTTAGAACTTATATCTCAAGGTGAGTGGCGCATTCGTTGTAATGTCTATGGGCTCCAGTAACCACTTAACACCAGGTGGGCTGTGAGCTCGCCCACCCATCTAAGCAATAAAAAAAATACTAGGCACAAAAACCTTTTTTCTTTTTCTTTGTAAAGCTCCACCGAAGAGACCTTGATCACAATGTTTAAGTTTGGACTGAATCAAATTAGATTTAATTATGTACGTACTAAAGAAGTGTAATTACTGAAGGAAATGCCATGTGTCCACACAGATCTGTATGTTGTCCTTTCTCTGCTTGCCACAAAAAAAGCAATCATGTGCAAATTTTTTAGTGTAGTACTAATTGCAATGATTTTATAACTGGAATGTCATGGCGGAGTGGATTTATAACTTTTATAAATACAATCTTATGTCATTCAGGTAAACTTCTTATAGTAAACTCATAGAAACTTATAGAAATATATGTCTTTAAGTTTGTTTATTATAAGTTTTGTTGTAGGTAGCATAGCGCTATTGGAGATGTCAAATCGTCTCCACATGGACCATTTCAACATTGTATTGACCAGAGCTATGCAGGGCTGCAGAGATATAGAGGTGAAGACATAATTTAAACTCATCTTTTGATAAATTATACTTTGACATGAATGAGGAATAAAAAATGATGAATTATTAATGAGTCCACATTGAATAATAAAGCAAAACAAATGGTACAAACAATTGTGTAGTTTTATATCTTTGATTGGTCTTTTAAACCTTTGTTAAAAAAACTCCCATTTCCTAATTCTTAATTAAAATTATATAACGAACATTCAATTCGTAAAATAAGTCTTTAACAGATTATAGAAAAAGGACGTAAAATTTATGTTAATTCTTAACTGGATAGAGCGATTTTAAATTGTGAAAAAAAGATTTAAAATATGAACACTTAAATAGTATGTCTAAAAAATTATTAAACTTTTTTTTCTGCTTAGAATGTTACTTCAAAAGCGATAGAATGGTTGTATTGCCGTCAGTCCTTGACGGGTGTGCAATTTTAAAGCGAATCGGATGCCTTAAAGATGGTGAAAATTGAAACCTTTAAAGCACAGCATTTTCTTCGGTTTTCACAAGTCGTAGACATCAAGTTTGAGAGCAAGTTGTTTTTATTTTTCAGGTGATTCTAGACGGAGCTGTGAGACAACATTTGGCAGAGGGATGGACGAAACAAGATGTAATAACGATATGAAACAAAATATATTACGATTTATAATTAATTTCATAAACAAATTTGTTTTATTTTAATGAACTAAGTGCCCACTCCAAAATAATGGAACAGAATTACATTAGCGCGTTTAAGGTTCCGACAAGTTGACTCTCTTAGAATAGTTGCTTGAAAATACATTCTTGTAATATTTAGTAGTCGTGACCTGAAGGTTAAAATACCCACTATAATTGTATCAAGTAATGAGACTATGTTAATGTGCAAATCCTGCAGGCAGGCAATTTTTTGTCTAAAGTACCTACATACGTACATTTAACCAATTATACAAATACCAATGGCACTATTTAAAGTATAATGGTATTGAAATTTCATTTAAAACTGAAAAAACTTTGACATTAGACCAGTCTCTTGTTTGTTTGTATTATGGGGGATCAATCACTCAAGTCAGAATGTATGAATACTTTGAGGAGAAATAGGACGTTACAAACTGGGCAAACGTGAAAATAAAAATTAAGAGAGGATTTCAAAATAATGCACAACAATTTTATAGACTTACATATTTATTAGAGATCTGAACAAAATAAGAAATTAAATTATATGTACAGTCTATGTTAAAAACTAACTAAAATTAACAGTTAAAAAGGTACACACTGCTTTATTACTCAGTGGTAAGAAACTAATATTTCCTCTATGGTAGTTTGAAAGAAAAACAGTCAGCAAAATGTTACCAGCGATTAGCGTAAAAAACAAAATGAAGGAAAAGGTGTAAATAAAAAAATATAATCTTTTTTTAAATACATTTCGGATTTCGAATATCAGTCAATCCGTTGCTGTGATTGCACATTCTATTATTAATACATAATAAAAAAATAAATAAACAGGCGTTATTAAGAGCCCGAAATAAATATTGCTCCCTCTAAGCCTTTTTTTAATTTAAAAAACCTTTTTTCAAACTACATGTTACAAGTAACATTAAATATATAAAAAACTGTATAATGCAAAAAACAACATACAGTCACATAACTGTTTACACCAAAAAATATTATGACATACAAATATCTTATGACAAATGAGTTGCTAAGGCACTCAACTACATTATTATTTATATCTATATATAAATATTAAAAAACGCGAAAAGCCAAGGGATCAGTGTGAAAATTACGATTTAGTGGGTTTTTTTTTTTTCATTAATCTCGTATAGACGACATGCATTATAAAAATGTTTCAATTCCAAAAAATGATACTTATGCTAAAATAACATACTGTTTATTATGCGAAAACGTTTTTAATTTGAGTCTTCGTACGCGCATGTTGCGATGAATCAAACGTTAGTTGGCCGCGATCGGCTCTTGTACTTTTAAACTGTTATCTCCCGCCGCTATATCTGAAAACAATAATATAACATAACTAGCTGACCTGGCAAACGTTGTTCTGCCATATATAAGATTTCTAGAGAACTTCAGGTGTAGGAAAAAAAAAAAAACTAACTTATTGTAAGTGTGTAAGGATGTGGTAAATGAGTGTAAAGGCATGTAGCGCTGTGAACGATGAGGGAATATAAAATAAAAATAACAAAACCTCATTCAACCACAAAATACCTCATTATAACAAAAAAAAATGTCCAAATAAAAAAAATATGTTAAGGGTGGACAACCCTAATCACTTACGGGTATGAAAAATAGATAGTAGTCGATTCTCAGGCTTACTGAATATGCATAAAAAATTTCATGAGAATCGGTCAAGCGGTTTCGGAGGAGTATGGGAACGAACATTGTGACACGAGAATTTTATATATTAGATTAAGTCATATAAAATTAAAATAAATAATTAACATTGTTTTTGACAACTACCGGATGTAAACGTAAAGGCGGACATGGAGGAGAATAGCCTCATCCAGAAGTATGCCAACGACCGGCCTAAGTGGAGGAGTTTAAGTCTTTTTTTTTATTGCCCTTGTAGGCAGACGAGCATACGGCCTACCTGATGGTGAGTGGTTACCGTCGCCCATGGACTTCAGCAATGCCAGGGGCAGAGCCAAGCCGCTGCCTAACGCAAAAGCAGATCCTGGCACTAGACCAGGAAAACGTTAGGAAGAAGAATAAGTACTGATTCCCAAATCTCAAAGTCTTATTTTAACAGGGTTTCAAATAAGATGGACGTTGTTGGTGTGATGAAGCCATTTTACATTAATTTATGAAAGTTTCGACATAGTGTTACTGATGGTAGAGCCTCTTGTGAGTCCGCACGGTAGGTACAACCACCCTGACTATTTCTGCCGTGAAGCAGTAATGCGTTTCAGTTTGAAGGGTGGGGCCGCCGATGTAACTTTACTGAGACCTTAGAACTTAGATCTCAAGGTGGGTGGCGCATTTACGTTGTAGGTGTCTATGGGCTCCAGTAACCATTTAACAACCAGGTGGGCTGTGAGCTGATCCACCCGTCTAATAAAATAAAATAAAAAGATATTTTTTCAAATGATTCAAAATGGAATTACTACATACCATTAGTTTTGTTGGGCGAGTTTTGCGATGAACTATTCTGCGAATCACTGGTGCTCCCTTCAGCGTCTCCACTTGTATTGTTAGTATTGGCGGTCGATCGAGGCTGCGGAAAAAAGTTGCACTATAAAGCATTTTCAGGCAAAACTTGATATGACTTACTTGAAGTTTAGTTATAAAATAACTAGCTTTTGCCCGAGCCTTCGTCCGCGCGGAATAGTTCACAAATAACGCTTTATCTTAGAACAAATTTGGTTAGCAAAAAAAAACGTAACAGTGAGCCAACCTTAACATATATATACATATGCTGTTGCGGACTTTTTTTAGATCTTTTAAAGGGGGACAATTCTGCTATACATTATTTTAGCGAAACTTTAAACCGTTTCTGCAGCGCACACAGCGGAAGCTCTCAAAAGGGAAAAAAAAACGATTTTGGAACATTCTTTATTGGTGCTCCGCTTGTATTGGTCTTAACGTGATGTTATATAGCCTATAGCCTTCCTCGATAAATGGCCTATCTAACACTGAAAGAATTTTCAAATCGGACCAGTAGTTCCCGAGATTAGCGCGTTCAAACAAACAAAATCGTCAGCTTTAAATATTAGTATAGATATTCAATTATATTATAATTTTTAGTATAAAAATAAGATAACTGAGCAACACAGCTTCGCCCTTATAGATTCGTAATTTTTACTTTACAAATATCATTAACGATCATAAATATCTACCAAAAGATGCAAATTATACAAAATAATATTACTGTAGTAGGAAGGTAAGGTTTATTTTTTGCTACCTATTGCTAGTTACTTCGAGGGATTATGTTAGCCTCACTGAATGTGAATTATTTTGTTATGCAATCTCGGATAGTGTGTCAAATAAGATCTTTCAAATACGACATAGATAGATTTGAAAAAACAAAACTTGATTTAAATCATATTTGTTTCAGAGGCACAAAATATATCTACTAGACACATACATATATTAAAAAAATATATTTCGTTTTAAGAAACAAAAAATATAGACAGGTTTTAGTGTTATTTTACTGCCCATCACATGTTCCAAAATTACAGAAGGTAATTATGTTTCGGTGCAAAACCTATCCAACATCAATTTAAATTTTTTTTATTGCGCAAATGGGTTGACGAGACGAACTCACGGCCCAGATCGAGACATGAATTCTGAGTTTCAGCTTTACAGTGCAACAGTTGCCTCACTCTTTGAACAGAAACGCAGTATTTCTTTTGGGCAGAAATAGGCAGGGTGGTGGTACCCGCGGGGGCTCACGATACGCCCTCCCTACCCACAAGTAATTACACAAATTACAGTTCAATCAAAATAAATGTTCTCTCAACGCCATTGATATTAAACCCATATCCACATTATACACAATGCTCTCATATAAATGTGAGAAGTCAATTAAATCCCTATATTCTCCTATGTGTTTTGTTAATAAAAAAACTCACTCTTACGGTAGGCTGTCTTGGTTTAGGTCCTTTCGGTTCTTTGGCAGGATCGAAATGACTGTCCAGTATTTCAATCAACTCTTTGATGTCTTCCTCTTTAGCAGATACTGACAAAGCTGATAATTGTTTCTCTAAGCCTAAAGTAAACAGAAACAAAATTAATTTACTATTCTATTTATTGTTAATTGTGTTGTACAACCTTGAATAAGTACTGAACTTCTGAATTTCCAAGAAGAATATGAATTAAATGAAGTTTAATAATTATAAATATTCATATAATTGGTTTTGAATTTTTTTAGTTTGTGTTAAGGTAAAATATCTTGCTGTGATTTATCTAAAATGTGATACATATTTATGTATAAATTGACTTCTTATGTGTGAAAGAGTAATTTTATCATTATAGTATCGGTATAATTAATATTATTATAGCTATTTTGCATATCTATCTATCTTCTAATTGATAAATACAGCACTGTTAATTATTTCCTTATGTTTTATTGTCCATCTGATGGTTGTCTGAAAGAGACCGCTCTTAATAATAAGACTGCCCATTGTACTTTTGTATTTAATGTTTTGTCATTGTGTTTATTTTATATCAGTGTATAATAAATATACCGCCAATTGTACTTTTTTGTATTTAATGTATCGCACTGTTTATTTGTTTTTTGGTGTACAATAAAGAATACTCTTTAGAAAGACGTCTGGTGAAGCGCACCACCAACCCAATTGATGACCACGACCACTCTGCCAAGAGTGCATACGACTGAGAAGAAGAAGAAAGAATACTCTCTCTCTCTTTCTCTCTCTCTAATAAAACCTAGTCTACTCTACTCTGTGATTAGTTTTTTTTTATTACTTAGATGGGTGGACGAGCTCACAGCCCACCTGGTAAGTGGTAACTAGAGCCCATAGAAATCTACAACGTAAATGCGGCACCCACCTTGAGATATAAGTTCTAAGGTCTCAGTATAGTTACCACGGCTACCCCACCCTTCAAACCGAAACGCATTACTGCGTCACGGCACAAATAATGACGTTTGTCGGTATATATCGACGCTTGGAAGGCATACATGACTGAGCGACAATGCGTGAACTTTACAGTAGACTAATTTAAAGTTGAAATACTTGAAAAAAATTCTATTTTAACGAATCTAGCTGTAGGATTGAAATGATTTTAATAGACCTAGAAATACATATTTTTTTGCGCATCGAATACGGTTATTGCCTATCATTTATGTACAAAGCAGTTATTGTCGCTTAGTCAGGTTTGCCTTTCAAGCGTCGATATAAAATCAGGAAGGTACCTGCGAGTTGTTGTTTCTCCCAGGCGTCGTGTAGCTGCTGATAGAGCAGGCCGTGGTCGGCGAGCAGGCGCCGCAGCTGCGTCACGCGCCGCCGCTCGCCGCGAGCGCCGCGCAGTAGGGGCGCGAACACTGGACGGAACGTGTTCTGTCTGTGCACACAACAATAAATCAAATCAATTTTTTTTTATTCAACATAAATGAAAGTACATACTTGTTGAACATCAAAAGAACTATACCGCCAATTCACAAAAACTCGCCTCCGTTCTGAGAAGAACTCGCAAGAAACTCAGCAGACATGTCTCTTTTTTGAATATACATTTTTACAAGAGGTATTATAACGTAACAATTATTGCGATATTGAAATGCCTGGATGCTTCTAGATAATCATTGACTTTATAGTAAGCTTTATTGCACAGATGTTCTTTAATAGTTTTCTTGAACCTATGTATATGTAGGTTCTGAACATCTTGTGGGATTTTGTGGTACAGGCGCACAGACAAACACCCGAATAAATTTCGTATCTTATGTAAACTACTCTTCGGCACAACAAGCTTCCTAGTATTTCTATTATGTACGGCACTTTTTAGGAAACTCCTCAATATGTTTAGAAACATACATCAAATCAAAAATGTACTGGGATGGCATAGTGAGAACTTTAATTTCTTTAAATTTTTCCTTCAGGGATTCCCTTGAGTGCATGTGCATTTGAGTGCATTTGTCGTAGCGTGCAACCTCTTTGACAAGACATAAGACCTTTTTTATTATCGCTAGGGAATCCGTTTACGGATACCCGGCCGAGAGAGCAGACAGGGTTATGACGGACTACGGTGCCTCCAGAGAGGAAGAGGAAGCCTGAAGTCCTCTTCTTCCAGGCATCCTAATGGGAGACTACGCTTTAAGAAAGGCGCGGCGTCAGCCACGCAAGACCGACTACCGACTAAGGACATAAGACTTACAACAACTAGACACATACTAAGACAGAGACTTGACAAGAATTCGAAAAGAAATGGAACGACGGCGCACGTGACTAGCAGTGTAGTACTAGACAGGCAGTACTTTTAATGACTTCCTAAAAGACAGACACCAACCAGACAACAAGAAACGAATTGACCGGTTCTCGTGTGTCCATAAAATAGACGACGAAAGAACGAACCGACCGTTCAAGTGGTCCTTCGAACTGTTACGAGGATTTATTAGAAAAGCTTTTTTAAAAAAAGAAGTTTATGTAATTCTTAATAATTAAAACATTTGAAACTGACAATTACTGACATCAATAAAAATTTCAAAGGTAACAATATCTAACTGTACTCACTCACAAAAAATCCTACTACTAGAAATTAGCCAAACTATGATTTCCACAGATGTTTCTATTATGTGTTCTTATTCAACATGCCCAAACTATTACCTTTCAAGGATCTTCTTTAGATTGGCGAGCGCTTCTAGTTCTGTGTGTACAGGCCTTGCCCACACCCTTGCCGTTTCCACCATGTCTTTACTGGCTGAGAGACTCTCACCTGAGGCACTTACTTCTTGCTGTTCACCTGAAGTATAATTTAATATAATTGCTTGATGTTGTGTTTATTTAAATGTATAATACATAGAACTTTACAGTACTTAGCAAACTAGCTGTGCTATGGGATGGCTCTGCCTTTAAAAGGATGCATTAAGCACTTACTATCGAGTGGGCACTAACATATTTGCTTTCTAGCAATAAACAGCTTAATTAATTATTATATAATAAAGTCCATGATATGATGAGCCTTTCAGTTTTTTAAAAGTTCTCTGTGACTATGAAGTGCTTTGCACTAGATTATAATAATATATGTAAACTAGCGACCCGCCCTCGCCACGCTTCGGAAACTGAAATTTATTATTGATTTCTCCACTATTTAATGAATGTTATTATACATATAAACCTTCCTCTTCAATCACTATCTATTAAAAAAAACCGCATCAAAATCCGTTGCGTAATTTTAAAGATTTAAGCATACATAGGGATATAGGGACAGAGAATGCGACTTTGTTTTATACTATGTAGCGATGTAGAGTACGCACCTTGTGCGAGATGTTCGACAATCTTATAGGCAGCTGTTGCCCGTTCGATGGCGCTGTCCACTGACAGAGAGTCCGCGTCCAGAAGCACACGAGCCAACACTCGCAGCGAGACTGACTTCACTGTTGCCTTGCATTTATCTGCAGCCAGGGCATAGCTGTCAGTGAATCCTGCGACTATTGAATTAAAACGATCCAACAGGTCGTACCTAGAAATGAATAGGAACAATATATATAATTGTTTTCTGACTTTGCTGTTTGGCTCTTAACCATAAAATATGTCATCTAAAGTTAATAATTTAAATCAATAATATCCAAGTTTATTTTTGGATAAATTTAATGATCTTTACATGATTTCCGAATGATTGTAAATTTATATTCTACAATTGGAAGTTAATAAGCCACTAGTCTACTTAGTGAGTAATTTATGGACATTTAAGAAACACAGAAATTCCATTTTCTAACTTATTAACTTAAAAATCACAATAAGCAGCCAACCTTGTCAAAGCCTCAAGAAGCATTGTAGGACTGAACCTCCTGGGTTCGTGGTATATAAGAATGACACTACCATCTCCTTTCTCTTTCTCTAACCAATCAAGGAAGTCTGTTAAAGCTGATATCTCTGATTTTGTCTTAAGAATCTGTAACAAATGTGAAAAACAGCCTCTATTAGTGGTATTAAGCCCTAATATAATGTTAGTTATTATATTGAAGAATATTCAGAACTTTAATTTAGCTTTGTGTGATATGTATATGTTTAGACTTTAGACATCCTAATTGGCTAATTGCGTAAATGTTGAATGCTGTAATGAAAATTCAGTTCTCAGTTCAATAAAGTCCTTATACCGCTTTAGCTTAGAACAAGGGATGTAATTGAAAAATGCATGTAACCATTCTATAACCCACAATATGACAGTCATAACAAGAATATGCTGTGTGGAATGGTAGGCACAGACTTTCTAAGATCATACACCAAAAATGGTAAAAAAGTTACAATTTGAATGTATATTGATGTTTTTTGTCAGATTTTTCTTTGTTTTATCACATGACCTGACTTTTGACATGCATTCTGTGACTATTAAATATGTATTAATTATAGTAATTATACATAGATATTCATTAGTGTTGCTTGTTCTACATTTGGCAAAAGACATGGCAGAATCTGTGGTCTTCAATAACCCCTCAACACCAGCTTAAGTACAGGAGGCAATTTTGATATTGTATAGCCAAACACAGTATGAACTCAGAACCTTGAGATATTTTTTTCTCCTGCAGGCAGATGAGCTTACGGTCCATCTGATGATGCGCGGTTATCGCCACTCATGGACATCAGCTATGCCAGAGTCAGAGCCATACTATCTACTACTGAGTACTATCGAAAAGCCTCATTTGACAAATGGTATGTCAATTATACGCCTTCATAGGGTGCTGGAATTCTTTGGACATATTGCTCATAAAGAGGGTCACAATCTAGTACAGCTGATGGTGACAGGAAAGGTAGATGGCAAACGAGGATGCAGTCCCACAAGATGGTCGGACCAAACACGATCTTCTCTAAGCATCAACTTCCACAATGCCCTTCATGAAGCTAAGGATCGCAGCAGATGGAGGGAAATCGTACGGGAGAAAATGATGCAGCGGGGGAGTCACGACCCTCATAAATGAGGAAAAGGACACGAGGAGGATGTCAATTATACAATTTTAATCATCTTCATCTTATTACCTTATGAGAAACCATATCTTTTAGCATTCTGTAACGTCCAACGGTGACAACGCGTACATTGTGACGGCGTCTCGCTCCAGGATTAAGGTCACCATACGGCATAATATATTGGGAATAAGTCTGTTTCGGAGTATATGCTGCTATTTGGCATATCTGTAACAAGGATAGTATACAATAAAAAATGTTTTTCTAATTTCATAGTGCTGTGAATCTTACTTTTTTTTTCAATTTCTTGGAAGATGGATCTCGTATGTCATTTACAAGGCACAAGTCAGCAAAATCACATGCCCCGGGCAGCATGTCTAGAGGATAGTTTCAAAGTAGATGCTAATTAAAATAGCTCTTCCAGTACAGGTATTAAATAGCTCCTAACTTTTCAAATGAAAGCAATAGCAAAAAGGGCATCATTAAATTATGCATTAAACAACAAGAGATTACATATTACTTTTTATTTTATTACTTGGACAAGTAAACAAGCTCACTAGAAGTTATGTGCTTAATGCGACTTTTTTTTTTATATTGCTTTGGATAGGTGGACAAGCTCACAGCCCACCTGATGTTAAGTGGTTACCGGAGCACATAGACATCTACAATGTAAATGCCACCATCCACCTTGAGACAGAGTTGTAAGGTCTCACTTTTAACAGTAGAACGGCTGCCCTACCCTTCAAGCCGAAACGCATTACTGCTTCACGGCAGAAAATAGGCAGGGTGATGGTACCTACCCGTGCGAACTCACAAGACACCCTGCAACCTGTAATTACGCAAATTATAATTTTGCAGGTTTGATCTTTATTACACGATGTTATTACCTCATCTATTAGTCTCCGTCCTGTTGTATCCATGTCCCAGCCAATAAGAGAGTACTTTCCTGGTGGGAGACCGACTGGCTTCTCAGCCAGTGCGGGAGGCACTTCAGTATTCGCTTCCATTTCGCTTCCATTCACTTTCACTTCAGTCACCATGGCCATTAATACCTAACTGAAACAACACATTTTTTTTTCTAACCACGACCGTGAATACGCAAGTCTGAATGATGTACGAAAATGTAAACTAAATATAACAATAACACTGGACTTTGAATAAACTCAAGCCTTTTGGGAGTCTCTGAATACGTACTTCCAGGTTTAATTGAAATAAAAAATAATTATTGTAATTATTGTAATAATATGCGGTAGGCAGCGGCTTGGCTGTGCCCCTGGCATTGCTGAAGTCCATGGGCGACGGTAACCACTCACCATCAGGTTGGCCGTATGCTCGTCTGCCTACAAGGGCAATAAAAAAAAAAACCATGAATAAACACAAGACGACATTGTATTTTAGGAAACTCTCCTCTTACCATGAAATCAAGGTTCCAAACCAACGAAACCTCATGATATTTATTTCGGTGTATACAGAGAACATAAAAGTCAAAAGTTTTAGTTCATTCAATGTTCTATTAGTGACATTGTAAGCTCCGGCAGGTAGGCAATACTTATTACAGTATCCTGCTTATTTCTGTGAGTCATTAAACTCTGACCTTACATTGTAAGGTTAGTGGCAACATTACTTTCTGATGTCTATATGTTTCAGTAACTACTTAACATCCTCAAACTAGATTTTTTATTGTTGAACAAGCTGTTTATCATACTGTGAAATCTACATGATTTAATTAACACAAATTAAAATGTGAAGTAACTAGACAGTTTTTAATGCAATACCCGAAAAAAACCCAGATTGAGATGTCCAGTTATAGAAAGCAGCACCTTTATCTAGAATCTAATTAGCACTGTAGAAGTTTCTACATAGTATGTACATACATTTACTTGTAAAACTTTTACGTACATACTAGTCTCAATTGTTCTGTCTTGTGTACGAGTTCTAAAGTTTAAGCTTCAATAGATTCTAGCCTACACATAAGAATAATAGGTGCTCTGTTACTAGTCAACTCAATTCAATATTTTTACAAAATGTTTTAGGACGTCAACTCATAGAAAGTATGCAAGTAGAATGTAATTATATAGATTTTTATAATCCTCTTCAGAATGAGTTCTGCGGCATTAAAACATTTCATCAACGTACAATGTAATTTAAAAGAAAATAGGCTACAACAAAACATCCATACTGAGATTTTATTAGATCTATTATTTTCTTTTAATATTAGCAGTAACCATATCCATACTGCCTTCATAGAACCATTATCCTGGAGTAAATTGATTATTTGTTTAAGTTAATTGTTATTTATTTATCCTCTTACCCTACCGAGTTGATTTCTACAATTTGGTTTCAATGATAATGTATTCTAATCATAAGCATGAACTGAATAAACTTCCAAGATTATCTCCAGATAGACGACCGTTCAATGGTTTACAGCGCATACAAATTATTATGTATTTTTTATTACGACAGCCAGTATAAACATTGTCCTCTTTTTTGCTACATTCAAGTTTTTAAAACCTTAATGGAGCAAAAATGAACCTGATTAAGGAGCTACTCAATAATTAGCAGCGTAATATTTGTAGTTTACTATTATAGTACTACTAAGTATTCTAAACTTTTGTTTTTATTAGGAATTTATTTAAGAATTTGGTTTTCTTTTATTACTTTTAAGTTGCAGTTAATTAAGTAGGTAGGTGGGTAGGTTAATAGTAGTAATTTTGTAATTTTACAATATTTATTTCACCTATTCTCAATTATTCTTATATTCGTTTCGTTTTATTTACTGTTAATCCGGAATTACTCGAATTTTTCGTAGTTCTCTCAATAATTCACAACTACCCTCCAAATTTAAAATAAGGTTCGCTAATTTTTAAAATACCGGTTTGAGATATAAAAAACCGTCGTTCCCTATCGTATTTGTTGGATTTATATTAACCAATTTATTACAATAGATATTTTAACGCTGCATAATTCTGATTATAACCATGAAACGTTACAGGTACCCGGCGCCTAAAAATAGTCGACCATTTATAAATAAAATATTATTTGAATAAATCAGAGGGACGGAAATTAAAGTATATCCTAAAAGCTTATATAAGCGTAAAACAAACAAAACCATAGAAAACCTATAATTTAGGACACGTGGCGGTCCCTTCTTACAGACATTTTGCCCCACCCCGAGTGTCAAAATAATTTAGAAAACCAACTCACTTTGCAAACTCGTTGATGAACAGATGTTGGTAAACAAAATATGAGCCGCGTAGACCGGTATGATGCACGACGAATGTTTTAAAGTTATTTTATTGTTGTAAAATATCACAATATCTCAGCACGTGTGCGGCTATTGGCAACCGCAATAGTGATTGACTCAATTGTCGAAAAAGTAAAATCGATTCGGTTTTCAACAATCAATTTTTCAAAATTTGAGCGATTTAAATTTATTATTTAATCTAATTTTTCAAGTCCCTGAATCATCGTAAGACAAAATAAGGAGCTCACAGTAAGCAGTTGTCGAAATAACAATTATTTATTTTTATCTCTTTTTATGTTTGTCTATTACTATTAGGGTTTTAGTTGTGTACAACACTAGACAAGGTTTTAAAATCTTGTTTTTATCATTAAAGTATGAAACCTAGTTTTTATCCAAATTTTGTAAATTTTTTGGATTAGATTTTTTATAACATGCAATTGCCATGCAACAACAACGATGATAAAAGTCATATCTCAAAATACTTCGTGCTTCAAACAAGGTTTGATGAAAGGGCTTTGGTTAAACAATGGTTTGGTGATGACTTTTACCATCAGGTATGCTTCTTTGATATTAATTGTAAAGTCGCGAAATAAACGCGCGTAAACTTTTGTAAAGTCACGTAAAAATCCATAAAATGTACCAACATTTAAGACCATCTAACAGGAATATTTGAATTGCTAGTTTTCTCTATATTCAGTTACGGAGCGGAAACCTGGACACAGAAAAAGTTCGACAGAGACTGCATAGACGACTTCGAAATGTGGTGCTGGATATAATAAAACAATGTTTTCAAGACATAGCATAAAATATAATAATGATAGGTAGCAAAAATGACAATGTGTTTGAAGTATATTTCAAATAATGGAATATGGAAAAGAAGGTTACAACATTCCTCCCCATCTACATCTCGTTGATCAGACGGCGGGGTGCCTGTTTAGGTCGATTACTTCGACGCGGAGCAAATGGCACAGGAGTGGAGACCGGAGCAGGTGGGGAGTATAACTTCGAATGCTGTGAAGGTGAATTTGGAGAAATTTGTACATTTGTAGGCGACTGCGGTGAAGGTAATGGTACTGCTGCCGAATTCTTATTGTTAGTTAGCCTTTCGCTAATTGATGTTTCCATTCCAATGTCTGGAGAAGCAGTCGTTGNCCCATGACCTTCGTGCTGTTCTAGACAAAGATAACTTTGTTCCCCAAATAACTCCCTATCTCAGGAAATTTGTTAACTCCTTTTCAGCGGTGCGCGAACGTGTAGAGACGCTTCAAGATAAAGCTAAAGGGTATGCTGATCGTTCGAGACGGCCCATTGAAACATTCAACGAAGGTGACATGGTTCTCATCAAATCACATGTCCTCAGTAAGAGCGCTAATGGCCTTACTTCTAAGTTTGTTCCAAAACGCGATGGTCCGTATCGCATCGTTAAAAAGGTCAGCCCTACTACTTACCACGTCGCGCATGTTGACAAACCTGATGAAGTTTTAGGGAAATATCATGTGAACGATCTCACTCTATACCGTGAGAATCAGAGTGATGCTCTTCCGCGGCCGGTGATGCCTAAAAAGAAACGTGGTCGTCCCCCAAATAATGTTAAAACAGATTCTCGAGTTCCAGGGCATATGACGACACGGCATGCTGAACCATGTGCTGAAGCTCCACGTCTTTCTCCCGCAGCTGGTGGTATGGTTGGTCTTGCGCCTGTCCCTCAGCCCAGTAGTAATGAGATGCTAGTCCAGGAGCGAGGGCGTCCTCCAGGACTAGAGGGGGAGTATGTAGCAAACCGACCGGTACGTCACTCTCGCGGCCGTATGCCCGCTCGCTATACATAGTTAGCATCTATGTCGATCTTTTCAACAGTGTATAATCTATGTTCCGGGCGCTTCCGTTTTGAGTGTGAATAGCGTGCGCCCGCGTCTAAATGTATTTATTGTATAAAATTGAAAATTGTTTGTGTTAAAGGAAGATTAAAATTCGAAGTTCGATACTGGTGACTAACCCATAGTTTTAAATACCCCTGAGATCTACCCCTCACTATAACCAACATTTAAGACCATCTAACAGGAATATTTGAATTGCTAGTTTTCTCTATATTCAGTTACGGAGCGGAAACCTGGACACAGAAAAAGTTCGACAGAGACTGCATAGACGACTTCGAAATGTGGTGCTGGAGGAAATTGTTGTAATTTTCATGGACTGGATTTCGCACCAATGTGTCAATACTAAAGGAACTTAATATTAGAAACTAGACTTTCCACAATATGCATTCGTAGAGAATTGAAGTTCTTTGGACGCATTGCTCGAAAGGAGAGTCACAATCTTGAGCAGCTTATGATAACAGGCAATGCTGCCTTTCCAACTATACCAAGACGAGTACACTTACTTACATATTTATTATTATTATTATTTTTTTTTATTGCTTTGATGGCTGGACGAGCTCACAGCCCACCTGGTGTTAAGTGGTTACTGGAGCCCATAGACATCTACAACGTAAATGCGCCACCCACCTTGAGATATAAGTTCTAAGGTCTCAGTATAGTTACAACGGCTACCCCACCCTTCAAACCGAAACGCATTACTGCTTCACGACAGAAATAGGCAGGGCGGTGGTACCTACCCGTGCGGACTCACAATAGGTCCTACCACCAGTGATTACGCAAATTATAATTTTGCTGGTTTGATTTTTATTACACGATGTTATTCCTTCACCGTGGAAGTCAATCGTGAACATTTGTTAAGTACGTATTTCATTCGAAAAATTGGTACCCACCTGCGGGATTCGAACACCGGTGCATCGCAACAACGAATGCACCGGACGTCTTATCCTGTAGGCCACGACGACTTCATATAATATTTATAATATTTATTATTGAAGTGAAAACTTCTTTAGAATCGTTGTGATTTCAAACCGGGATGCAACGGAAAAAACGATAGGTAAGAGACACAAATGAGAGACTACAAAAATGTGTAGGATGAAGCCAGCAAAGAATGAGACAGAAATATACATACTATTTAATACAGCACCATCTGTGAGATTTTTTAATACTAACGTGTGTATGAAAGCTCTTGTAGTGAATTTTAATTTAGGATTATACGTGAAATTAAAATATCAATTCACAGAGGGCGCTACCTTACAATTATTTACTAATGACAAAATTTTACATATACTTAAGACGTTTAGGATAATTGTATTTTAATTTTGGAAGGTTTCACTTCTACCACGTGTGAATTGCACACATTTTGTTTTTTTAGTTAAGATTCTTTTTTTTCATCTCTAAGCTGATGACCTTGAGAGACCATTTCAGCGTAACCTGAACTCCTGTGAGGTGTCCTCCTAGAGGTAAGCTCACGGGGCTCAAACCTGATTAAGTTGCTAACACCAACCCTAGCAAGAGCAGTGTTTCGCAGAATCTACCACCGGATCGGAAACGCGACCCGCTGAGAAGGTCCGGTGAGAAACTCAGTGGACTGTGTCTGTGGGTTAATTTACTCGCCGAGCCCTTGGTCGCAAGCGACGGAGTCAACGAGAAAGCATGATTCGTGATGGCCCCAAGACATTTCCATTTTCACCAGGATAGTTGGGCAAGCAAAAGTTCAGTCTAGAGGGTTGGGATTTGATAACAGATACCAGAGTGCCTCCAAAGGTGACCTTACAGCGCNCAACGGAAAAAACGACAGGTAAGAGACACAAATACAAAAATGTGTAGGATGAAGCCAGCAAAGAATGAGACAGAAATATACATACTATTTAATACAGCGCCATCTGTGAGATTTTTTAATACTAACGTGTGTATGAAAGCTCTTGTAGTGAATTTTAATTTAGGATTATACGTGAAATTAAAATATCAATTCACAGAGGGCGCTACCTTACAATTATTTACTAATGACAAAATTTTACATATACTTAAGACGTTTAGGATAATTGTATTTTAATTTTGGAAGGTTTCACTTCTACCACGTGTGAATTGCACACATTTTGTTTTTTTAGTTAAGATTCTTTTTTTTCATCTCTAAGCTGATGACCTTGAGAGACCATTTCAGCGTAACCTGAACTCCTGTGAGGTGTCCTCCTAGAGGTAAGCTCACGGGGCTCAAACCTGATTAAGTTGCTAACACCAACCCTAGCAAGAGCAGTGTTTCGCAGAATCTACCACCGGATCGGAAACGCGACCCGCTGAGAAGGTCCGGTGAGAAACTCAGTGGACTGTGTCTGTGGGTTAATTTACTCGCCGAGCCCTTGGTCGCAAGCGACGGAGTCAACGAGAAAGCATGATTCGTGATGGCCCCAAGACATTTCCATTTTCACCAGGATAGTTGGGCAAGCAAAAGTTCAGTCTAGAGGGTTGGGATTTGATAACAGATACCAGAGTGCCTCCAAAGGTGACCTTACAGCGCAAGGGCTGCTTTGGATCGGAATTGCGACCGGTTGAGAAGATCCGGCGAAGCTCAACGGGCCTATGTATGGGTTAGGTTGCTCTCGGTAAAAAGATCGACGAGTACAGTTACCAGATTCCCTAACCTTGTTCTTGGTGTTAGAGCTGAAGTCGTCTAATGCAAGAGTAATTGCATCTGATTTGTATATCAATGACATGCTGTTTATTGACGGCATGCATTGTTAAGCGGATGACAGCACGAGGGATGCGCGATATATCGGCCATCAGAGTCTCTCTCGGAGCGTGGTGCAAGAGAGACGACCAACACCTGTGTCTGAAGTGGAGAACTCTCTGGGGCGAGTCACCGAATGGGGTTGAACCAAGTTCAATTCAACCCGTTAAAGACACAAGTTTGCGCGTTCACTGCGAAGAAGGACCCCTTTGTCATGGCACCGCAATTCCAAGGAGTATCCCTGCAACCTTCAGAGAGTATCGGCATACATTGCGAAGGACATCAATCCTGTCGCATTACGAAGGCAAATCCAAGTTGGCGTCTAAAATGCTGGGAGTCCTCAACAGAGCGAAGCGGTACTTTACGCTTGGACAAAGACTTTTGCTTTATAAATCACAAGTCCGGCCTCGAGGGGGAAAACTGCTCCCATCTCTGGGCCGGGGCTCCCAAATACCAGCTTCTTCCATTTGACTCCATACAGAAGAGGGCCGTTAGGATTTTCGATAATCCTATTCTCACGGATCGTTTGGAACCTCTGGGTCTGCGGAGGGACTTCGGTTCCCTCTGTATTTTGTACCGTATGTTCTATGGGGAGTGCTCTGAGGAATTGTTCGAGATGATACCGGCATCTCATTTTTACCACCACACCGCCCGCAACCGGAGTAGAGTTTATCCATAATACCTGGAGCCACTGCGGTCATCCACAGTGCGTTTCCAGAGGTCTTTTTTGCCACGAACCATCCGGCTATGGAATGAGCTCCCTTCCACGGTGTTTCACGAGCGCTATGACATGTCCTTCTTCAAACAAGGCTTGTGGAGATTATTAAGCGATAGGCAGTGGCTTGGCTCTGCCTCTGGAATTGCTGAAGTCCATGGGCGACGGTAACCACTCACCATCAGGTGGGCCGTATGCTCGTCTGCCTACAAGGGCAATAAAAAAAAACCCGATGGATTCGTAAGGACGTGTCTGAGGAATTATTCAACTTCATTATTTTGGACGGTATGAGTTATGTTCCTTTTGCCTAATCAAATAGATAAATCTATTTATAAGTTTACAAAAAATAGTAAATTGATAAATAGCTAACCAAAAATTTTTATGCTTGGTTTTAATACATTTCGTATAACTTAAATATCGGTCATACCCAAGAACAATATTCTAAAAGCTTAGATTAAACACGAAATGGCCGATCATTCTGAATATTATAAGAATCAAATAGCTTTAGCTCGTACAGAAATAAAAAATCTCAGGTGATATCAATGATAACAGTAATTTTTAATAAAATTTGATTTTACATTTAACATAACGTAACCAATGTACTTGTAAAGTATTACGAGTTAAATAATTATTATTCTCAGGCAACAATTGACGTCTCTGAAGCACGAACACCAGAAGGAGATAAAACTAATTAAAGCAGCTCTTAACAGTCTCCGTTGTTCCGACTGTGCTGAAGCCGGTAATAATGTCTCAGCTTTAAAAAAACAACTTTCGACATTAAGGTTATAAGAGTCGAGAGTTGGATACCCATTGTTTATATATAATATCAAAATATTATGTGAAAAGTATACCTTTTCCTATGCTTGGCTTTGTTCAAAACTTCACACTATTTAAAATAAGCAGTGATTTTAATATCTTTACAGCCACAACAGCTTTGGTTAATAATGTAGAGGCAGAACGGTCTGATGATGACATACATTATCAGCCTATTGGATCAATAGAAACATCATTTCAAAACAAACGAGGTGTTCCTCGGCAACCTTCTGTTATGAAGAATGCAAGGGGAACNATGCTTGGCTTTGTTCAAAACTTCACACTATTTAAAATAAGCAGTGATTTTAATATCTTTACAGCCACAACAGCTTTGGTTAATAATGTAGAGGCAGAACGGTCTGATGATGACATACATTATCAGCCTATTGGATCAATAGAAACATCATTTCAAAACAAACGAGGTGTTCCTCGGCAACCTTCTGTTATGAAGAATGCAAGGGGAACTGTGGTAATTGATACTTCAGTATTTAATAACCCTGAGCATGCTTTGAGCGGACTAGAGGAGTTTTCACATATGTGGTTAGTACAATTCTCTAAAAAAATTAAGTACAGTAATCCCCCCTATAGTATGGTACATTTATAATGCACTTTCATATTACGCAACTTCAATCCCCCGTATAACACAGGCATTACCCCAAATAATGCAGGGATTTCTTACATACATATTTCTGTACTGTGAAATTTATAATGATTTGTATAGTTCATAATTAGCTTACATTTGCACGTGTGTCAATTGTGTTCTTACAAAACTAAATTATCTTATTAAATTTGTGTATTAAAAGGTGTAGGTTAAATTTTACTTTAAAATGCATGCTTCTGACAGTGGCCACCAGTGGCAGTATGCTTGTCGGCCTACAGTGGCCATAAAAAATAACAAACAACGAGAATGACATGTCAATAAGCCCTTTTAATGTTTCAGGATAATATTCCACTTCCATATGACAGAAAGTACAAATGCACCAGCTAAAGTTGCCCCACCAAGATTGTGTGGAGGAAGGCAAGGTGTATTCTCCACGCGTTCACCCCACAGACCTTGTCCGATTGGGTTGTCACTTGTGAAGATTCATTCTATTGAAGGTATTATTGTACTGACATAAAGCATGACATCAATGATTTTGAGGATTGGTCAGTAGGAGTAGTAGAGGAGTATTAGAAATAAGTAATTTATTATTCAAAGTTTTATTCATATTCATGATTGTTCAATAGGTAACAAAATACACTTTTTGGGCGTTGACATGGTTAATGGCACACCCGTTCTGGACATAAAACCTTATATTCCACAATACGACTACCCATATGAAGCAACAAGCTCTGTTCGACCACCGACAGAGGGAATAAGCGATGTGATCGATGACATGGTGAATGTTAATATTGGTGACCATAGGTTAGACATTGGAAGGTATGTTGATGTAATTCAAATATAAATTTAACTTGTTAGTAAACGAATTAAACAGCGATGACAAGACAGAAAATAAAACTCATTAGGTTTAATTCAAATGTAGGCAGTCTCTTTTTTTTTTGTTACATTTCATAATTTCTTTAATTTTAATTTCTTGTCATACGAAATGAAAACTTCAAAAACGATAAAATGTATGCTGCAATTTTTTATTATGAAATGGCATGAAATAGGACATGAAACTTGAGTATTTATATACCAAGATTTTTTTAAGGTGCTAACAGTTCTGTACGATATTAAGCTTTATTGGAATATTTCTGTATGTTGTAAAGTACTACATTTTTCATACGCTTTACAGCTTAAGTTCCAGAATTGCGACACCAATCGATATCGATTCTCCTTGTAGAAGTCCATTTGAAGATATACCTTCACCAGAGTCAAGACTCAGCAACATGCAAGCTCCACTATCAGAATTTCCGGACTCCTCATCTAGTGTCGACCTCGTTGATGGGAATCCAAGGTCGCCTTTACGTAGGCCGGATGCTGAACGCGGAGATCCCGATGGTCAAGAAAGGTTCACTCCACCGCAGTCGGCAAATCAAAGTATAAGGCACGACGGCATAAGAGTGGCCGCTTGGATAAACAACCCTGCTTCACAGAGATACGACGTTAGATTCACTGATGATGCACTGGTCCGTCTTCACGACCTAATTGGGGATAGAGCGGATGCCTTCAAAAGTAACATTGAAAGTCTTTTGTCTGAAGATCCAAGGTCGAATTACGTCAGAGGCAGGTATCCGGATCACGAATACAGTTGTGTGTTAGAAGACCTGTCTATTAGCTGCGTTTTCGATAGAAATTCGCATGTTTGTAATATAATCGCTGTGAGAAATGCCGAAGAACTTCAGGAAAATTAAATACCTATATAGTTAAGAATGTAATGAAATAATATATATATTTAATAAATGTTTTTGTTCGTTTACAATGTTCTTTGAATTTTAATTATGGATAGAACCTGATAGATTCGCCCGAACCGAATCCACCTATCGACTTCAAAATGTGTATTTGAATGTATCTAAATTTGTCGCCACTTAGTGCAATAGTCTTGACTTTATTATCTAAATCCCATTTTATAGGATCGGAATCTTTGGTCCAATGTTTCCCATCAGTAGAACATTTGTACTGCAATAGCAGTATTGTTCCGTTGCCGGCGTCTTTGCGCGGTGTGTATTCTATTAACTTGATTGGGTAAATATCCCCTAAATCGAAAGTCAGCCTAATGACGCCACCTGTTTCTCGGTAAGCTTGGTGTTGTTTGGACCAACATGTGTGCCATATGCTCTTTTTACCGTTGGTAAGATTATGTACCTCCTGGCCATCCTCACAGGGTATATTGCATGAAACCTGTACGTCTTTTAGGGCATTTTCATACAAACTTTGGGCTGTTTCGACCGTAATCAAATAACTCCACTTTGATACGCCAACGGGGCTTACAGCTCTAATTCTAAATGAATATGCGCTGTGGCCTTTCAGATCGTTGAATGTGAATATATCACCGATTATATAGCTATAAATAAAGCCGTCTTTTTCTATTTCGTAGTAATCTGCGTTTTCTGTTTCATTCCATTTTAAAGTAATACTGTTTCCAGTAATTTTGTTCTCGTCAACGGTAAACGAAGCGGGTGTTTTTATATTTTTGTCAATATTTACAACGTTACCCAATATAGGTGTTTCATTTGCGAATCCGTTCACTTTTATTATTATATCTTCTATTGAAATATCGACCTTTTGTATTTTGATTAATACACATTTTTGCTTAATTGCCTCGCCACCACAATCCGCAAGATACGGGTTCGCGTAAAAATCTTTTTTGTAATAATAAATGTTCTCTTTCTTTTCGAATGATTCATCAGTTTCAACTTTGTTAATTTTAATGGATTCTCCTTTGACCAAAACTTCTACAAGCTCAACGTCTTTAGATACGATGATTTGTAAAATTGTTGATCGATTTACAACCATATTTCTATAGAATCCTTTTGTTTTGTGGATGTGTATGTATAAGTCGCCGCGCTCATTAGAAGGTGGACCTTCTACATTAACACGCGTTGTAGCCGATATTCTATCTAAATAATCAGTAGTTATGCCATCATCTTCGTAAATATCGAAGGTGGTTTCATTGTTCGGATATATTCTAATTATTCTTTTATCCCTTTGTACTTCAGTTACATTATTATTAGGGTTCACGAACGGTATGATTGCACCATCTTTAACAAAAACGGGAATCTTCCACAGCGGGCAGTTAAAGTTGTTGTAGATTTTACCGCCAATATATTTTTCACCCGTAAACAAATCAATCCATATCTGTTTTGGATTTGGAAGATAAATTCCATGTCTAATTGAATCACCATCCGAGGACTTATAGTTACAGTAGATAGGGGCTACTAACAGACTTGGACCCCACATGTATTGGTATTGCGATTCCAACGTGTAGGCAGGTATTTCGTTCGGAAATTCCAAGAACATACCCCTTATCATTGGCAAACCTTTAGTTGATTCGTGACCGATAGTGTAATTATAAGGTAGTAACATAGATTTCAATTTCAAGTAAGCTCTGTTTATGTTCGTTGATTCAACGTCAAAGCTGAACGGGGTTTTCGGTGTATTACCCCAGCCGTCCATATTTAGTTGCAATGGTGTAAAAGTTTTCCACTGATAATCACGAATATTAATTTCTCTATGCCCACCGCCGTAAATTCCGTCCATATCTGAACCAACGACAGGCTGGCCAGATAAACCGGTACCGATGTAAGTGGGGATGTGGAAACGTATGTATTCCCATTCGCCCCCAGATTGATCTCCACTCCAAATGCCTGCGTATCTCTGAGTTCCAGCCCAACCGTCAACCATTATTATCAAGGGCCTAGCCTTGTTTCTAGTGCTAGCAGTAAATTTATTCGTGCTCTTTTCGACTGCGTTCAGCCCGAAAGAGTAGCCGCTGCCTATCCAAGCCACATCACATTTCAAAGCGACGACCCCTGCTACGCTAATTTCCTTGCAAAGATCTCGTTCGCTTTTCTTAGGATTTTTTGGATCCTTGGGTTCGAGGTTAGACTCGGTCCAAAGTGCAACTTGTACCCCTTTATTGTTTGAATATCGCACGAATTCCCTTAAGTTTTCGATATCGCCGTCCAACGTGTCCGTTTGGCCGTAACCCGAGCCATATCCATCGTTTGGTATGAACCAACCTAGTGGCATATCGTGTTTTCGATATCTATCTACCATAGCTCTCGCGGAAAATTGGTAATTATTATTTTCTCCGTTCAATGATTCTAATATACCTTTTTTGTTACCGATCTCGCTGGGCTGAAAACTTTTGTAAAATTCGCCGTCTTCAAACAAGATCGCGCCTTTCGTTTCCGGCGTAACCTTTACCCAGTAATCGCGATTGAAGGTGTTCAAATGGGCTTCATAAAACGCGTATTCTGGCATAAATATAGGGAATCCAGTTAGCTCGAAATAATCGTTTAGAATATCCTTTGGTTTCTTATTTATAAAGTAAAATGCATCGAAATCTTCACCATAATGCATAGTTTCGATTTTGTCTTTGTTTTCCGAACCGAAATCATAATTTCCTGGTTGCCAAGTGTTACGGAGCACGCCGTACCCACGCGTGGACCAAAAGAATGGACAAGGAGAGGCAATACCACCATCATCCCACTCGTTGTTGTTTACAATTTCAATGACCTCATTTTTATGACTGAAGCGACCATTTTGCATGCCCCCTCCGAAGAAATATTCATTGTTGTGTTGTTTCAACTCTTGAACGATGACGCCATAGTCATAGAATATTGGTTGGTATTCTTTGAGAACCACTTCGTCGGTTCTCCGATCGACTATCGACATAACACTATTCGTTTTATCAAACTGTATTCTTATCTCATTAGTATCGACGATGTGAAATTCTTTGTCTTCTTCGAGCAGGGAGAGTTTGAACGGTTCAGTCTCGTATTCACTGACCCTTTTGTGATTTATTCTGGCTTCATCATCGTTGTTGTTAGGCGTAGGGTACTCAGGGAAGTTCCCGGTCGGCGACATGTGATATCTGAATACGTGTCGGTTCAGAATGGTCAATTTCGCCGATTCTCCTGTTTCATATTCTATTAAAAAATCAGTTTTCGTCTTTATAAAGGATTTAATTTTTCCTAACCTGTTTTTCTCGTCTGTTGTCTCCATGTTTACGTTTCAAATGAAAAATATCTGTAACACATAAATTAAATATTAGACGCATGAATTGTTAATAAACTATGTCAAGGCGACCACGATGGTCAAACGAAGGATTGTCTAATTCTTATACTGTATTTAACACCGTCTGGTTGACAATTTGGTTTTAATGAGCGTAAATCAATAATAGAAATAATTTAACTTTGGTTTTGTTTCATTATGTATGAAATACGTACTTAACAAATAAAGTAAAGGTCATTCAAATAAAAAAATATTGAAAATTTATACAAACAGGAAAAAATATGGGAGAAGGCAGAACAGAAGTGAAAAAAATTAGAGGCCATGGAAAAAAAGGAACATGAAAAAGATGACAAAAAGAAACAAACGAAATGGGGCAAGAAAAACCAAAAGAAAGAAGCTAATGTGGATATTGACATAGACCAGGATTCTAATGAATTCTTGAATGTCGATATTCTTGTTGAAAAAATCTACAATAGCTACGGTTTGACTGATTTTAAAACTGTCTTGGAAAAGAAAGTTGCTTTACAAAAATTCCTTGAGGTAGAATTAGGAATTAGTGCAAAAAGTACAACCGAAGAGCGTAATCAAGCCATTTTTGAAGTCGTCGTGGCCTAACGGATAAGACGTCCGGTGCATTCGTGTTGAGCGATGCACCGGTGTTCGAATCTCAGGCGGGTACCAATTTTTCTAATGAAATTCGTACTCAACAATCGTTCACGGTTGACTTCCACGGTGAAGGAATAACATCGTGTAATAAAAATCAAACCCGCAAAATTCTAATTTGCGCGGGTAGGTACCACCACCCTGCCTATTTCTGCCGTGGACCAGTAATGCGTTTCGGTTTGAAGGGTGGGGCAGCCGTTGTAACTATAGGTACTTAAGACTTTAGAACTTATATCTCAGGGTGGGTGGCGCATTTGCGTTGTGGATGTCTATGGGCTCCAGTAACCACTTAACACCAGGTGGGCTGCGAGTTCGTCCACCCATCTAAGCAATAAAAAAAGAAATTTAGATTTTGTACAGATTCAAATTTTGTAACAAAAAATTACAAAAATGTTCACGATTGACTTCCACGGTGAAGGAATAACATCGTGCAATAAAAATCAAACCCGCAAAATTATAATTTGCGTAATTACTGGTGGATTATTTATTGGTGGTAGGACCTCTTGTGAGTCCGCACGGGTAGGTACCATCGCTCTGCCTATTTCTACCGTGAAGCAGTAACGCGTTTCGGGCTGAAGGGTGGGGCAGTGTAACTATACTGAGATCCTAGAACTTATATCTCAATATGGGTGTGTAACTTATATCTCAGTATAAGTTGGATATTTTACTTATTTTAAAACATAAATAAAAACATTTTTAAGTCAAATGTCTAAGTATTAAATTCACGAAGCTTACTTGGACTTACACGACGTAACTCACCAGCTCTATTACTTCTAAACTTCTAAGGTACTGCCGAGTGCGGATATCTCTAGTTTCTAAGCGTGCATTTTGGCGCGCAAACACAGCTGTACTGACGATTTGACGAAAGAATTATTTTAAATTTGTAATACAACGGACGTTGACCTATTTTCGTTGTGTAATTATTGGTTTTATTGAAACAAAGAGTGATAAATGAATTCTAATAAATAATAAATACATACGTCTTTAATTTAATTCTTATTTTATGTTTTTTATTGCCCTTATAGGCAGACGAGCATACGACCCACCTGATGGTGACTGGTTACCGTCGCCCATGGATTTCAGCAATGCCAGGGGCAGAGCCAAGCCGCTGCCCACCGAAAGCCAAGCCGCTGCCTACCGTTTTTTTTCCTACCTAAGCTGAGAGCCTTGAGAGGCTAAATCAGCGTAGCCTTAACTAGTAGGTGAGCTCACGGGGCTCAAACCTGATGACGTTGCTAACACGAACCCTAGCAAGAGCCGTGCTTCGCAGAATCTACCATCGGATCGGAAACGCGACCCACTGAGAAGATCTGGCGAGAAACTCAGTGGGCTGTGTCTGAGGGTTAATTTACTCGTCGAGTCCTTCGACGCAAGCGACGGGTTCGACGAGGACGATGACCGGTGCTTGAGGTACCTAGAAGCACCGTTAGTGGATCGCGAGGATCCGAAACGACGTGCTTGGGGCGACGTAGACTGCTTTCCGTTCTGTCCGCAGGATCGGAAGAGGCCTACCGTATTATTACGTCTGTATTAACAACATTCTTGAAGCTAAAAATTATTAACGACGCCTTTTTATCCAAAAATGATTTTAAGCCAGCCACAATGATTTGTTTTTAACAAACAGTAAAAAAAAAAAGTGTTAATCCTAATTTCTAGATTTACTTCGATCAATAAAATGTGTTTTAAAAATATCTTCATCTAATACGTATTTAATAATAATAATAAATTACTACCTAGTTAAATATTTACGAATTTCTCTTTAATTTAATTACTTCAATAACTAATAACTAATTAATTACCTAGCATAAAATAAATACACAAATGCGCAAGCACTAGTTTCTGGTATTTAACTAATTATATACGTCAAATATAGAGATGTAGACACATAAACATTATAACGTTTTTTAAGCATCACTAGATAATGTATTCATTTTCATCATCAGGGTAATCGAAAAGGTAAGTACCACATACGTATGTGTACATTAATACAATAAGTTAATAATGGATGAATGTCTGTTGTAAATAATGATAGGTACCTATGTACATCGTACACTGACCTGATAAGAACCTTTGCTGATTGCTTTGTTAAAGTTGTGATAACATAGGGCTAGTTGATACTGTTATGGGCTAGCTTGCGACTTGCAAATAGTAACCACGGAATAAGCTGTTAAGCAATGCTACTGTAGTAGTAACAAGGTACTGTATAGAAACGATCATCTATAAACTGATCGACCAGTAACGTGTTGGTATGGCAAGCAGTGTAAATCGATCTCTGAAACTATCCCCTTTACCTTACTATTGAACTTAAACCTGAGTCTAAGTAAAAGTTCCTTGCTAATTGACCAATAGAGTTACTTTGTCACCACCTACTACGAGACCCATAGATAATATAGGTACTTACCAGATATTTTTGTTTGGTTCCTTCAATAGACAGGCAAGGGAATTTTATCTCATACAGTCACATCTCGCTATTTACAAAAGGCCGAAGCGACAGGCGCCTGCTGTTAAAAAGGGGAATTTTTATTAGATTGGTGAATGAACTCGCGGACCATCTGGTGTTAAGTAATTACTGGAGCCTGCAGACTTTTACAACGTAAATGCCGCAACCCACCTTAAGACATGAGTTCAAAGGGATGTTTTTACGGAACAACGCCTGCTCCACCTTCGCTCAAACCGAGTTGCATTACTTCGTTACAGCAGAAATAGGCAGGGTGGTACTGGTGGCACAGTTGCCAGGTGGTTCTCGGGTTCTTGCAGTCACACTTTTTTACTGGTGGTAGGACCTCTTGTGAGTCCGCACGGGTAGGCACCACCACCCTGCCTATTTTTGCCGTGAAGCAGTAATGCGTTTCGGTTTGAAGGGTGGGGAGCCGTTGTAACTATAATTGAGACCTTAGAACTTATATCTCAAGGTGGGTGGCGCATTTACGTTGTAGATGTCTATGGGCTCCAGTAACCACTTAACACCAGGTGGGCTGTGAGCTCGTCCACTCATCTAAGCAATAAAAAATAAAAAAAATTAATATAAAAACACTTACAATTTCACATATTGTAATCGATTAATATTAACTTTTATAAAGTGCGCGTGTTATGATTATTAAACGCTGGATCATGTACTCTGACACCTCGTTTTCACTTATGCATGCAATAAAAGTATTTAAAACTTATTGAATGCAAAATAAACTCTATCGCAAACTCTATTGGCAACAAAGTTACACTATAATTTAAACAAGAAGCTTTCACTAATGTGGAAGATACAAATTCAAGATTCGTTTTTAAAACAAAAATTTATTGAGTTTTCAATTTACCGTAGAAAATATAAAAAAATCGAAGAAAAACAAATTGACAAGAATCATGTTAACTTTTTTGGCGTAAGCGTGAGGTGATATATTATCTCAATAGTTTGGGTTTATATTTTGAGTAGTTTTTTCATCTCATTTTATCCTTGTCACATTCCATTTCACCCTTTGCGCAAGAGAAATAGCTTTGGCTTGGGTAAGTTAAGATTCGGCTGTATAGGCTGCGTTTTCATTGCTTGTTCAATGGACGTTTCAAACAAATTTGACACAGTGTTTTGTAAAAGTTGGTTTTTATTTTCTATGTTTCCAATTTTCTCTGAATATAAATTAAATTAAATTAAGATAAAACCTGGACTAAGAATTCTCATTATTAGAATCGTGGTGTCATCTAGAGTACCCTAATAGTAAAGTATGTTTTAGATCATTCATTTTTAATGAAAATTCGTATTATGAACAAAATCGCTTTGTCACGACTTCGGCTAACCTTTCAACCGGTGGTTTTTTCACAATTTTCCCAGATGTTTCTCACACGTTCCGAGTATGATCGCGGCGTCAACACATTCAGCCCTGAAGGAAGGCTGTTCCAGGTGGAATACGCCATAGAAGCTATCAAACTTGGCTCCACTGCAATTGGCATTTGTACTTCGGAGGGAGTTGTTTTGGCGGTGGAAAAAAGGATAACTTCAACTTTGATGGAACCCACGACCATCGAAAAGATTGTTGAAGTAGATCGACACATCGCTTGCGCCGTTTCGGGTCTAATGGCCGACTCCAGGTTGGTCTCGTAATACTGAAAATGTATTATGATTATTTATATGAAGGTATATGCTGGTAGGCAGCGGCTTGGCTCTGCCCCTGGCATTGCTGAAGTCCATGGGCGACGGTAACCACTCACCATCCGGTGGGCCGTATGCTCGTCTGCCTACAAGGGCAATAAAAAAAAATTAATGTTAAAAAAATATGCGACACTAATTTTTTTATATAATTCTGCAGGACCTTAGTTGAAAGAGCCCGAGTTGAATGTCAAAACCACTGGTTTGTGTACAATGAGCGTATGAGTGTAGAATCATGTGCTCAGGCCGTTTCCAACTTAGCTATACAGTTTGGAGACAGTGACGATGATAGCGGAACAGCCATGTCACGGCCATTTGGTGTTGCTGTTATGTTTGCAGGTATGTGTAATTTAGAGCTGTTTGTTTTTTAGAATTATATATACATCAGAAGAGTGATTATATTTCTTTCATATATAATTCTTGCTCAAATAACGCCCATAAAAAATTCTAGTGTGTATAGCTAAATAAATAAGAATTTAGGAGTAAATGCTTGTTTATAAATATAAGTAAAAGTATTAATGTAAATGCAAAAAAAAAACACATCCATCGCATTTCATCAGAGTAATAGTTCTATAAATAATTATGATGTATATTTCATATCCAATTACAGGCATTGATGAGAAAGGCCCTCAACTGTTTCATATGGACCCGAGTGGTACATTTGTGCAGTATGATGCCAAGGCCATTGGTTCTGGCAGTGAAGGTGCCCAGCAGAGTTTGAAGGTAAGTACAGTGGATGTTCCATAATATCGTCTTCTCGCATTAAAACTGTATAATCTCAAAACTTACTAATTTTACAGGAGAGTGTTTTAAAGGTTTATCAAGTGATATTTTTAATATTAATCATCTTTGCAACATTTATTTTTTATTTTTTACCAGATACATTAACTGTCTTTTAAAGTAAGATAAAATTATGTATTAATTTTGTTAATAGTAGTCAAAATATAGGTAAACTAAAAAAAACATAAAACTAAACTATGCTCTTTTGACAGTATTTATGAGAAAAATACTGGAATATTTTTGGAAATTGTACACTTTTAAAGCAAAAAGACAATATGTCAACTAAAAGATTATTATACTAACATTTTTTTGATGATATTAGGTAATCTTGAGACTTTTAGACTAAAGACTTTTCAATTAAGAGCTAATGAGGAATAGGTCTAGTTACTGGTCTTTCAACTATCATTACATGCACTGCTTGCATTTATTAGTGTTTAAAAAAAATTAATAAATGTGAGTAGTATGTAGTGCTCTTGGTTTTATTATTTAAACCTATTTGAAAAACTGGGATAAGACTAATCATAATTTCTCATACCAGGAGATTTATCACAAGTCGATGACCCTCAAAGAGGCCATCAAGTCTGCACTCACCATACTGAAGCAGGTCATGGAGGAAAAGCTCTCGGAGAACAATGTTGAAGTAGTGACAATGACTCCTGGATCATTGTTCCACATGTTCACAAGGGAACAACTTGCTGAGGTTATCAAAGACATACCTTAAAAATGTAGTTTGGTGTGCAGTTTTTGAAGGGAGATTAGACATATGGCACTAAATAACTAATCATATCTTATTATAAATCTCACATTTATTTGGAATTTCCAGAAACACCACCCTTTAAAATAAGATAGTGGAATTGGGATTCTAAAGCTATAAAGTATTTTGGCTCATTAGTAGGTAGGGCATTTATCTCAAATAATAAAGAGATCAACTCTGTTAGAAGGCCAAACCTTGTGATATTTTCTGTATTACTCTTAACTTATCAATAGATATTGATTTACAGATATAGTTTTTTTATAAGGATAATGAATTCATGTTTATCATGTCAAAATAATAATTCAGAACACATGAATAAAACTGTGTTGAGTCAGACAGTGCTACTTTTCATATAAACTTTTAGAACTATAATAATTAATGTCTACACTTCCTTCATTAACTGTTTAGTTATTAATAAAAACTAATTTTTTTGTATATCGAGTTATATTTTGAGAAAATTGTGTAAAGATATTGTATTATTGATTATGATATTTATTATTATCCTTTTTTATATATAATATTAGTATTTTTTGAATTGTAACTGTTGTCATTCTCATACTTTTCATTAAACAGATACAGATTTTGTCAGTTCGTAAAGTAAATAATTTTACAATTTCTATCGTTCACACTCAAATAGTCTCAAAAATTATTATTCTGTATTATAGAATTGAAAATTGAGATAAAGTTATAAACTGTTTTATATGTACTGTTTATTTTCATCAATCTGAGATTGACAGCCTTGTATGTGTTTGATTTATATCATGTAGTTATACTGAGTATTTCATTGGTAATGTTTCGTGAATATTTTACTTTAGTATTGTATTTAGACACAGTTTTTTTAAAATATCACGCAAGGATGAGGGCGTTGAACAGTGAGTATTACTGTTTATTAATAAAAATATGTAACATATTTAAAATTTTTGTAATTATTTCATTACCGTCATCATCTCACCGGAGATCTCATTATTTTTGCGGAGAGCGGTTGTTGACAACGCGTGCGATCGAATATTATAGAATCTGGTATCCGTGATATGGTATTCAGTGACTGACTACTCAACCTTAGTCATATTACCTGTATCAGTTCTGACCTTTCCCATTTGATTTCCTTACTAAACTTAGCTCCTATAGTGGGTTGTACAGTGAATCCGGAGTCCACATTTATTGTGCTCGTTCAGTCTAATTTTGTTTGTTGTTGTTGAGTTCACGGCCCACCTGGTGTTAAGTGGTACTGGAGTCCATAGACAACTACAGTATAAATACCGCTAGCTACCTTGAGACATGAGTTCTAAGGTCTGAGTTTTTACAGTAAAACGAATGCCCGATCCTCCAAACGCAGTACGTTTCACGGCAGAAATAGGCAGGGTGGTGATACCTACCCGCGCAGACACGCAAAACGTCCTGCCACTCGTCTAAGGGATCCGTTACATTGCTTTTTTTCTTACCTATGCTGATAGCCTTGAGAGGCTATTTCAGCTTCGCCCTAACGTGTGTCACACTGACCCTAGCAAGAGCAGTGCTTCGCAGAATCTACCACTGGATCGGAAACGCGACCCCCTGAGAAGATACGGCGAGAAACTCAGTGGGCTGTGTCTATGGGTTAATCACATTGCGAATAGCCTTCAATGTATTGTTTCGAACAGATGATAGCCGGGATGCCAGAGCTACAGTGCAGCGAGACGAGTTCGCGTAATACCATACAGGAACTTTCGCGTTTGAGACTTGGAAGCCGCGAACAGACCGTTTAGTGTTATCGTGTCGGTATCGTAAACGAACTAGACTTACGCTTTTAGGAGGGTTAATTTGTTTTTTATAACCAACAAAGAATTGATTTCAAAAACAGTCTTTCAAGAGTAAATAAAGTCAATGTTACACGAATGTTAAAAAAAAGAAAACTAATAAAGTTTGAGTTTTTGTGGTTTAGTATTTTATTTGATTTTACATTTTCGTATAAAAGATCGAAGTATTTATTCGTTATTGTTTTTGGTAGAAATTCTATTGTTAAATGTTATTTTAGGCAAGGAGTATCATCTCTGTGTATTAAAGTGTTCACTGAAAGGGAACCAATTAAGGTGGCGCCACAGTCGCAAGTGGAAAGATATTAAGAACAGCGCCATAGATTATTAGAGTAGGATATTAAATTAAGAAGGAAAGAAATACTTTTTACGTAAATTACTATTTCGGTTTCGGTTTGAAGGGTGGGGCAGCCGTTGTAACTATACTTGAGACCTTAGAAATTGTATCTCAAGGTGGGTGGCGCGTTTACGTTGTGGATGTCTATGGGCTCCAGTAACCACTAAACACCAGGTGGGCTGCGAGCACGTCCACCCATCTAAGCAATAAAATAAAAAAAGAAGTCTATAGTCCCTATAGAAGCTGGTATTCCTTAGTTCTGTCCTCCATGGATACAAGTCTTATTATGTTGGTCGTGTAATATCTATGGCTCGGTTAGAGATGTGCCGCTTTTATTTTTTATGTAGTTAAGTTTTGTAAAAACTTTTTAGGAAAAAGTATTGTGTTATTTCGGAAATATTTAGGGACTTGTAAGGTCAGGTTGGTTATTGGGTACTTAAATATAGCCAACAGGTTGGACTTTCTCAAAAGTAGAATAAATGAATGGGCTAATGTTTTTTTAAAAGTGCAACACAGATCACGTATTTTATTAAAATATTTTTTTATAATAGTGGTTCTGCTGGGAATGGTGCATCTTCATTTTTACTGATTTCGAGATTGAGGATTTTTCGGGATACTATTTTTATTTGCCAACTTCAAAAAGGTGAAGATTCTTATGTTTTCAATTAAACTCCATATCGTTATGAACTATTAAAGTTTATTTAAAATTGCATTAATGTGATTGTATCTTTATGCTATTATAATAATAAATGTTACTTATTTATAATTGCTTTTCTCTACTTAGTCCTATAAACTAAAATGTTAATTGCAAAAATGCAGTTTTACGTTCATTGATAATTCTTGATTTTCTTTATAAACACAGCCCTCCCAACACGATAATTACATCGTGTTACAGTCGTAATGAATAATAAATCTAACAAGATTAGATCGAAAATAATATCAAAAATTAAAGTTTTGTCAATAATCAAACCATGAAGACAATCTTCGAAGCAAACATGTTTCTGAGCAGACATTACAGACTACCTTTTGTTTGAAAATCAAACAGTTTCTGTGTATCAATAACAATAACATATATTTAAGATTGTATTAAATTTTGTTTTTTTTTGGTACTTTATTAACATTTACAAGAAAAAACATGTTAATCCTGAAAAAAATGTCAATAACAGTAAAATGGTTAATAGTTGGCTAAAAAAATTACGATAAAACATTAATTTCCACCCAAAAATAACTATAATGCTTGCTTTATTCACGTACATAAACTATCCCTGTGCCTATGCTTAATACCATAAAGAATTGGTTCAAACTAAGACTAGACAAGATGTTTTACAAGCTCTACATTTATTTCCCATTGACACATACACCATTATTATTTATTAAAAACACAATTGTATATATTTAAATAAGACTCTTAATGTTTGACACAAATTTTAAGGTAACAAGTACAACTCAGAGACAAGATAAAACAAATAAAATAAAAATAAATTATATATAACAAAAACCTTAAAAGCACGTGTATACTATATTTACTATCATCATTATGATAACGATCAAAATTCGAATATACTATTAAGTAAAAAAAAGCCTGCACAAACACATACGTCCTTAATGATGCATTTTTAACAAAAAATCTCATTTTATCCTTATCATGTAGATACTATACATATATATAACGGCCGTCTGGTGTAGTGGTAAGTGATATGGTCACTACATACGGGGGTCGCGGGTTCGAATCCCGCCAAGGGAAGATATTTGTATGATAAATATAAATATAAATGTCTTTTCCAGGGTTATGGAGGTATATTAAATTTATGTAGGTGTATAATAAAAATCTTACATTTATTTCCGTTATCTGGTACTTTTAACACAAGTTCTTTACGAACTTATCACGGGACCAGTTAACGTGGCGTGATTGTTAGTAAATATATATTATAATTTATTATATTGTTTAACAGGTCAATAACCTCTCAGTTTAAAGCAAAATATTTTAACAAATTTTTGATTACTATTTTAATTAATCTGTATTTGTGATTGTTATTCTTAATTTATACTAATAAGTAAAACTTATAATTTTTCACTCTATAAATACATACTGAGCAATTCTTACACAAAACATGAATATGTCAAATGAATGTGTGTCATCTGGCATTATGGGGTATTTGGATCCCTATAGGTAGTCCGGTAGAACTTTGGATGACATTAATTCCTTTTTGGGATATATTTCGTCTTCTCGCATTAAAACTGTTTAATCTAAAAACTTACTAAATTTAACAGGAGAGTGTTTTAAAGGTTTAACATATGATATTTTTAATATTAATCATCTTTGCAACATTTATTTTTTGGTTTTTACCAGTTACATTATCTGTCTTTTAAAGTAAAATAAAATTATGTACATATTAATTTTGTTAATAGTAGTCAAACTATAGGTAAACTAAAAAAAAAAAAAACGAAACTACGCTCTTTTGACAGTATTTATGAGAAAAATACTAGTGCTACCAAATGATTCCGCATATTAACTCAATTTCGAAAATTTTTGGAAATTGTACACTTTTAATGCGAAAAGACGATTTGCGGATTTAATATATATTACGTTTATTAGCTTTTAAGCTGTCATGAACTCGATAACAAAAATATATTAATTAGATAATGTTTGGCACATATTAAAATGCTATATTAAAATTTTTTTATATGTCCAACGACATTTGTATTACCAATATTTGGCCAAATCCTTTTCCAGATCCAGTGGATTGACATGCGGCGCGTATCTCTCGACGGGCACGCCGTTTCTGTCGACTACGAACTTACTAAAGTTCCACTTGATAAAATCACCAATCGTCCCGCTCTGCGCCTTCTTCAGAAACTTCCAAAGCGGATGCGCGTTGTCACCGTTCACATCGACTTTTTCAAACAGATCAAATTTAACGCCTCTGTCTTTTGTGAAGTTCAGAATGTCCTTAGCTGTACCTGGTTCTTGGCCGTTGAACTGGTTGCACGGGAAGGCCAGTATACGTAGACCTTTCTGGTGGTACTTTTCGTGTAGCTCGTTGAGTTGTTGATAGTTGGTGGCCGTAAGGCCGCACTGAGAGGCTACATTGACAATGAGCAGCACGTTCCCTTTGTAATCTGACAGCTTGACGTCGCGTCCGTTTATTGATTTAACTGTAAATTCGTATACTGTTCTTGCGGTCTCGTGGAGAGGCGGTGCTTCGTTAGATTCTTGTCTGGAATTTCAAAAGTAAATATATTTCAGTTTAAAGTTAAGAAAACTCAAAAGCTCAGAAGCTAAAGCAATCAGAAATGATTTCCTTCTTAGCAGCTTATAAACCATTCTCCAGATATGGTTTTTTTGTAAACCTATTTATTCTAATAAATAAATTTATTTTGCCAAAAATCATAGAAACGAACGAACGAGCCCCCGGATTACCTGATATTAAGTGTCACAGTGTGTACAGTGTGCACACGAGGAAGCCGCCATCCGCCTTGAAATATGAGGTTTAAGCCTCATATGGACGTACGCCTGCTTCGTTATAAAAACAGGCAGTATTCTTGCAGAAATGAATATACAGCAGTTTGGTTATGCTCCTTGCATTGCTAATATACATGACCTGCCTGACTGACCGGATAGTCACGTCCAGCGCGATGCGATCCCGTATACAACCGTTAGGAGGACCAACCAGGCGACGTTTTACGAAACGTATAATAATTATTAAAAAAAAACAATAATTTAAAAACTCACTTTTCGAAATTCCAAAATTTTTGAAATTTAATCACAGCTTGTGTGATGTCTTTGGCCATCAGTTCAGGATATTCCATGGCAGCGAAGTGACCGCCGTCCTCCACCACAGTACTCTGCAAGTACTCCTTGTATTTGAAACTTAATGCGGTGTCCGGTTGGTACATCAGTTCATACTTAAATTTTATACCCCATGTCGGAACATTTGTTGGTATCCTGAAATTAAAATTACTAGAGGTCCCGCAGTAGTCGAAATTCGCCTTTAATTAATTGGAATTGTATAATAAGTTTGTACACTATTATGATTGTATTTCATACTTCTATAATCACCAATTTCGGGCTACACTATAAAAAAAATATTAATAAAGACAAACAATATTTAATCTATTCTCAATTTGACCACAGACGTCAAGAACAAAAGTTTGACAATAAATGGTATGCATGCGTGTGTGCGTGAAATACATGGTATGTAGTGTGTGTAATGTTTTCTTTATTGATTTAATGTATCTTTTATGCATTATTTAAAAAAAATATTAGCATTGTGCACTTCTTCTCTATATTCTCTATAAGTGTGGAAAATTTCATTCTCCTCCGTCCGCGCAATTTTCGTAAAAAGGGATACAAGGTTTTTGCTTCACGTATTAATATATATATTACAATATTATTAATAAAAACGCATGTTTTTCATTTAAACCTAACTATTGTGATGTAGTGACTTACTGAAGACATTCAATGTAATCTTGATAAATAATGAATATTATTGCTGGTGGTAGGACCTCTTGAGNAAAATTTCATTCTCCTCCGTCCGCGCAATTTTCGTAAAAAGGGATACAAGGTTTTTGCTTCACGTATTAATATATATATTACAATATTATTAATAAAAACGCATGTTTTTCATTTAAACCTAACTATTGTGATGTAGTGACTTACTGAAGACATTCAATGTAATCTTGATAAATAATGAATATTATTGCTGGTGGTAGGACCTCTTGAGAGTCAGCGTGGGTAGGTACCACCACCCTGCTTAATTCTGCCGTGAAACAGTAATGCGTTTCGGTTTGAAGGGTGGGGCAGCCGTTGTAACTATACCTGAGACCTTAGAACTTCTGTCTCAAGGTGGGTGGCGCATTTACGCTGTAAATGTCTATGGGCTCCAGTAACCCCTTAACACCAGGTGGGCTGTGAGCTCGTCCACCTATATAAGCCATAAATAATAAAAAATAACTACAAAACATTATTAACAAAACTGTAACTGACAGTGTGAATAGTATATTCATATTCGACTTATGGATTTCAAATATTTAAGTTAAGAACATGTAACAATAATTTTGGGTAATGAGTTTTGCTGTAAGAAATTGATAGTTAGAATAAAAGTTATCTTCATCAATCAATATTAAGCTAAGCAGGAAATTTCAATATACCAGAAATCAAACAATACTGAATGCAAAATTAGTCCTCTAATTGATTCAACCTGACTTTGTTTATGCATGGTGATCTTCAGACTCACTCAATCAATTGAAACAGATAAATAGGCTTGGGCGAACATAAAATTTAATTTGAACTATTCCATTACAAGGGTCTGTGTGTTGTTTGTAGCTTGGATTTATGATGTAATGTTTTTTTTATTATAATATGAGTATTACTTTTTGTACCGGCTTGTGGTACATAAGGGAGTTTCTCGTGGTAATAAAACTCCAGCTCTTGATATTATTGTGATATATTTTAATGGAGATGTACAGCGAGCTTGAAGAGCGGGTAGTGAATGATAGTGAAATACATGAACTTATTAAGCTGTGATACTTAGCGCCTTAGAAGGCTAGCATCTTTGGTATTGCTCTAAAATAATTGAAGGCACTGGCCTGAACACTTTTATTTTTTGCTTAGGTGGGTGGACGATCTCACGGCCCGGTTAAGTGGTTACCCGGGCCCATTAGACACTTACAAACTTAAGGTACTTAAGACCCAATCTGGTGTTAAGTCAATACCCCTAGAGACATGATTGCTTCGCCCAATTGTTTAACATTTGACATGTTAATATGTAAAGAGCATATCATATTACAGTATCCAGGTCATCACAAAATATAAAAAAAATGGTGATTCCATATAAAAATGAATTTAAAAAGAAGTTTAAGAAAAGTACACTTACCTGTCGAAAATAAGAAAGTTTTGTTTTTCATTAAATGATTCAGCATACACCCTCATGCTGGTTGTCACAGTGTTAGTGGCCCAGTATATCATCAGATTGTCCAATAGCTGATTCAAAGAGAACTTCTTTAAGAGGTTTCCGTCACCAGCCTTTTTGTTACCAGGATTTGTCCAAGTTGAAAACTTTTCTAGAATGTAAGCTGCTAGGCCTGCAGGCGAGTCTGATAGTCCCACACCTGTCATCAGATGGTATGGAATATAGGATAGCTCTTCAGAAACAGATGAGTACTATATTTAAGAATTAGATACTTCACTGGTTGTAGGACCACTTGTGAGTCCGCACAGGTAGGTGTCACCACCCTGCCTATTTCTGCCGTGAAGCAGTAATGCGTTTCGGTTTGAAGGGTGGGATAGCCGTTGTAACTATACTGAGACCTCAGAACTTATATCTCAAGGTGGGTGGCGCATTTACGTTGTAGATGTCTATGGGCTCCAGTAACCACTTAACACCAGGTGGGCTGTGAGCTCGTCCACCCATCTAAGCAATAAAAAAACAACTTCGAGAGTTTCGTAAATTAGAGTACATTTTGTGAGATTATTAAATGTACTTACCGACAGTCTCGGGTTTTGTGGCTTGAATGTGCATGTACCCTGACTCCTCAATGAGTCTAGACCAGTGCTCGGATAGCGGGTACAGGCGGGGTTGCAATTCTTTCGTTTCAATTAGAGATGGAATCAAAGAGCCTGAAAGAATTTTAAGTTTAGTAATCCATATCAATAATCATCTAGGACAATGCATATTATTTCAAGGAAGGTGATGTCAGGCAAGACTTTTTTTTTTGTTTTTTTTTTATTGCCCTTATAGGCAGACGAACTTACGGCCCACCTGATGGTGAGTGGTTACCGTCGCCCATGGACTTCAGCAACGCCAGGGGCAGAGCCAAGCCGCTTCCTACCGCGAAAGCAAAGCAAAATTTCAAAATTGTCAGCCAAACCATACAACAGGGGTATTCATTTTAAAAATCTTAAACTTTATTATTATCATGACGATCTGCAGATGTTGGGGGCAGACCGCGGGCCTAAAGAAATTTTTAGAGTCCTACCGCACTAAACAACTCCCCTACGCTCTTACACCCGACGTCCGATCTCCGTCCGGAGTCAGATCCCGGTCAGAGTAGGGGGTTTCCCGCGGTCAACACTACAACCAGACACGAGGCGGCACCCCGACGACGCCCGACCGACGGGTCGTCGAGGCGATAGTCGACGACCAACGACGTCGGTCTCCGCGGTACGGTGGCCCTACCATGTCGCCCGGACTATGCCGCTGATGTTCTTGGATACTCAAGCAGACTTAACCGATGCACCACTTGTAAATATCTCAATTTTATAAAAAAAAAATAACTAATAACAACGATACAGTTAATAGTCGTTTTTCATTTGGCACTGTTTCCATTTTTCAAGGTGATTCAGTAAGTATTTTAGCTAAATGTAGAACAATTTTTCGGCGTCAATATGAAAAGACTTCTAATAATATAATTAATCTCACCACAAGTTATATATAAGAGAGCAGCTCTATGAGATAGAAGCACCGGGAAATTTGTGTGAAATCCTAATACGTTTTCAGGGAACGCAGTAGCAATGATGGAGCCAACAGTGTGCCCTAGGTCTCCACCTTGTATGTAATATTTATCATGACCGATCCTCTTCATGAGATTGTTGATGATCACCGCCATTTCAGCTGGACCCAAACCTGGTCTCACCGAGGCCTGAAATTAGCAGGTAATGTGTTACAATTTTATGTTCATTTCAATCATTATTATTTTCTGATTAAAGGTCTGAATTAAGGCTGGTTAAGGAGGGAGTATTTTTGATCTTGAGTCTTACATAGTGTTGTGATGAAATACACCTTTTTGCTGGTAATTAGTGGTCTTAATAACTACGTACATGAGTTCAGGTTTGATAACCTGTTGATTTTTATTGAAAATACTCAGTACGCAGGGTCTGGGAATACTTGTTTTTTACTTTTAGAAATATGTATGATAAATTTTCTCTTGTGTGGCTTTTGAATGTGTAACATTAAAGGTGATGTTACTCATAAATACTGTGTCAGAAAAGTTTAACTGTAGCTATGTGATTTTCGACATGATGTTTTCCTAAAATATTTCTTCACAAAATGCAGTTTATATTTTGATCTTAAATGCTTTAACTTGTTCCCTTATAAAAAATTTTTATTGCTTAGATGTGTAGACGAGCTCACAGTCCACCTGGTGTCTTAACACCACTAAACTACTTATAGTTACTGGAGCCCATAAACATCTACAATGTAAATCCTTGCAATATCAGTTCTAAGGTCTAAAGTATAGTTATTACGGCTGCCCCACTCTTCAAACCGAAACGCATTACTGCTTCACAGCAGAAATAGGCAGGGTGGTGGTATCTACCCTCGCGGACTCACAAGAGGTCCTACCACCAGTAATTACGCAAATTATAAATCACTGTATTGATTATTCTTTACCTGTGAGTAACCAAAACCCGGTAAGCTGGGTACGATGATTTCAAAAGCGATTTTTTGTTCTGGCTGTTCCGCTGTTAAATATGGGATGACATCATAGAATTCTCTGAATGAACCGGGCCATCCATGCAGCATGATTAGAGGAACCACCTGAAAGAAATCATTAAAGTTGCTTAACCACCCCCAGTGTCATGTCAAATTTCAAATAAATTGTGGCAAAATTTGGGGTGTACACACAAGTGTAATTTCTCTTAAATTGAGTAGCCCTTTTAACTATTCTGTTTACGTGATTGAGGTCAAATTTAGTTATTCTTTGCCTCCACCTTATCCCACTAGGTGGGGTCGGCACTATGAATTTTTCCATTCCATTCTCTTCTATCAGCAGTCATCTCAACACTCACTTCTCTCTCTCTCTCTCTCTTTCTCATATCATCATTCACACACTCCATCCATGTCTTCTTCAGTCAATCTCTTACTCCTCTACCTTGCACTACCATTTCTATACATCTCCTAGTCACATGCTCCTCTCTACGTCAATACCACGCTAACCATCTGCTCTTTAATTTGTCAATCACCGGTGCTACTTTCACACTTCCTCTGAATATGCTTATTACTTGAGGTTAAATATAATTATTCATGAAAACATTTATTAACATTACTCACTGTTTACTCATGTGTTGTGATAACAGTACAAACTTGTTAGTTTTTGTTTATCTATCAATAGTATACTATTTGATAGTATTGGACAGTTTGTTTCCCAAATAAATAAATAAGAATATTAAAGAAGCTGAACATGAAATCAAATGTGTCAATTGTTTTAAAAAGAAAATATAGGGTCACATGCATTACAACCACTGCACTATTTAGGTATTTTGAACATTGTTCCAGCAATATTGATACTTTAACTTTATATATCAAGGTGGGTGGGTAATGTTCATGCCATATTGTCTATGAGATTTGTTTTCCAGTAAATACAAATTTTACATGTCCAAATTTAGATTATGGATGGCTATTTAAAAGTCACACATTAATGAAAAAGGTATATTTAACATCTCACATTCACAATCTTACTTTTCACCGCTGGGTTTCTTACCTCAAGACCAGCAACGTTCTTAGGTTTTATATGCATAAAATGTATGTCCAAACCCTGGATATTGGTTACAAAGTGATCGTATTGGTTCAAAAACTGTTCCCTCTCCTTAAAGTTGTATTTGTTATGCCAATATTCCATTACTTGGTTTAAATATCTTGGGTTGAAGCCGTATGTGAATCCAACATTTTCTAAGGGTGGCTGTAGGGGTCTTCGGTGGAGAAGTCGCTCGCGTAGATCGTTTATCATCACATCAGAAAATTCTATCGTTAGCGGTCTTATTGATTTATCGTGGTCCAAGTCCATAGGGTACGGGCCCCACCATTGTTCAGTGTCAAGTGCTGGCATATCAGGTGGTATGAAGAAAAAGCGATACAGATAATATGCGCTGAGCACTTGTATGACAGTGATGAGAATAAATGATTTGAATGACTGAAATTAAACAGAATTAATTAGGTTTTTATTTATTTGTCAAATCGTTTTGATTAGTTAACTAAATATTTGTATGGATATGGTTTATTTGTACCTAAGTTTTTTTTAAACTATTTCTATCATACCTATTAAACTAGATTACATTTAGAGATGGTGCAATTACTTCTTTTAAAATTTATTCATTTACTATTTTAAAATATTTTTATATAATTAGATTATTAAAAGGTAATGGTAAGTATAAAGTGGTGTTCTGTATCGTAGTGGTATATTATACTTTTAGGCTAAAAATAATAATTCAAATTCAATTATTTAATGATGAATTAGAAAATTTAACAATCCAATTAATTTATAAATTTAGGTAAGCATTTAATTTTGTTGTCTTTAACAATTTATGTAACAATCCAATTTTAATTTTTAAATTTAAGTTGACATTTAATTTTATTGTCTTTAGTATAGAGATAGTGTTTTTAATGTTTTTAGCAGATATAACATAGCAACTTAAGTAAAAATAAAATGACGAACTCAAGAAAGAAGAAAAAACTATACCTTAATAGAATTAGAGTTTATTCAATTTAATAATAATACTTTTTTTTTGTAAATTGAACCATTAATACGGAATCACTTCATTTAAATAAAATCGACCATAATACACAGACGCTCACCTTATTTTTTTCGTTGGAATTCATTTTCGCAACATTTATTAGTAAATCGGGATATAAAAAATAAGATAAACTCTTTCCTACTTTACTTGGAAAATCAATTTAAAAATATAGAACGGCGAGTTATCTCTAAGCATTGTCTATGGTCATATATATTTTATGGTTTATGGATGGATAGCTCTCTGGCCTAGACCATAGATAGCAGTAGTAGTTTTATTTTTCCAACTGGAAAGGCAAAGGTGTCGTAATATACAGCATAATCTTTTATTTAATTATATTTTTTTGTGAATGCAGCCATCGACTTAGAATGAGACCGATGTCTCAATAACTGTTTTTTTTTCTAAAGATTATCTTACCCCCCTTAATACTGTTACGCGGTGGGGCTTGGGATAAATAAATGTTCCACCAAAGTACAATTTAAAACTGTATTAATCACTTAGAACAAACACAGAACACTTTAAAATTCTCAATTCGCTTCATCCGCTCCGCTTCAGGTAATCCGTTAGCTGTTTCGCTTCGAGTATTTCCGATTAGTTAACGGCCGTTTGGTGTAGTGGTAAGTGACATGGTCACTACACAAAGGGGTCGCGGGTTCGAATCCCGCCAAGGGAAGATATTTGTATGATAAATATAAATGTCTTTTCCAGGGTTATGGATGTATATTAAATATATGTATGTGTATAATAAAAATCTTACATTTATTTCCGTTATCTGGCACCTGTAACACAAGTTCTTTACGAACTTATCACGGGACCAGTTAACGTGGCGTGATTGTTAGTAAATATTTATATTTATTTATTTTCGACGTGTTTCCGCTATCTGGCAATAGATGGCGTTGTACTTATCGAGCGTTCTAGATCCTTCGATGTTCGTTCGGCTATTCGCCGATAGATGGCGCTACTCTTACCGGCGTAACAATACTTTAACCCTTTGAGCGCAAACTGTCGACGGATAGACTCTCTTTTAATGTGTATAAAGTGCGGAGCGTCAGAATACCGACTATTGTCCAGTTTGATTATCGACTTGTATGTACATTTCTTAGTGCGCGCATGTATAACGTTTATAATTACTTAAAAACATTTCTAATAATCATTTAAAATTATTTTGCTGTGAATTTAGCATTGATTTTAAAGTTTTATGTTAAGGTTTTTTTTTTTTTCAGCAGCGTCTGCAAAATTTGTGAAAATCAGCCCAGCACTAAAAGGATTAAATATATATTGCTCGGTTGGTGTAGATTTACCTTGGAAATGGATTAGAGGTCCTATAATAATTAAGGCTTTATATAATTGTATTCTCTATCTCTTTTCAGTATTGATGGCTGAAAAGCATAGCCTATCTGAAGGTGAGTTGTTGCTATCGTTCATGGACATCAACAATGTGGGACACAGTCGAGCTCATGTCTAAGCCGATAATAATCGGTTATCAGTTGTTATTGTTTATTACTTAGATGGGTGAACGAGCTCACCGTCCACCTGGTGTTAAGTGGTTGGTAGAGCCCATAGACATCTACAACGTAAATGCCACCACCCACCTCAAGACCTGTGTTCTAAAGTTTCAATTTTTACAGTAAACGGCTGCCCCACCCTTCGAACCGAAACGCATTACTGCTTCACGGCAGAAATAGGTTGGGTGGTGGTACCTACCCATGCCGACTCACAAGACGTGCCACCACTAGTTGGGCATTTAGCACAGCGGTCAATGGAAAACACGAATCTGACCTTAGACTTAGCTTTGGTTGGCCGCAATCTTTGTTCGTGTTACTACCATTAGAAAGTCATGTTGATCAAGAACCTTCTTTTTTATTCTCTGCCTATTGCTGGTAGCCTAATAAGGGTAGGTGAGCTCACGGGCTCAACTTGAGAGAATTAGCTAACACTAGCCCTAGCAAGAGCAGTGCTTTGCAGTCTACTACCGGATAGGAATCGCGACGCACTGAGAAGACTGGTGGTTCTTACTGGTGGTAGGACCTCTTGTGAGTCCGCACGGGTAGGTACCACCACCCCGCCTATTTCTGCCGTGAAGCAATAATGCGTTTCGGTTTGAAGGGTGGGGCAGCCGTTGTAACTATACTGAGATCTTAGAACTTATATCTCAAGGTGTGTGGCGCATTTACGCTGTAGATGTCTATGGGCTCCAGTAACCACTTAACACCAGGTGGGCTGTGAGCTCGTCCACACATCTAAGCAATAACAAAAAAAAAAGATCCGGCGAGAAACTCAGCGGGCTATCTAGAACCTTCTTGGTCTGTTCGAAACAAATGATGTCTACGGTTTGAGTTATCACATAAGTGAGGCCGTCAGCGCAAAAGTGGCCTAAGCTTACCACAGTTAGTATGGAGATAATGAGGTTCAAATTTACCTTTATTTATTTCATAGGCTGGAAAAGCTCACAAAAATATGGAAAGATGGCCGCATAACTAAAAACACCAAAGTTCGTTTGATGAGGTGCTTAATATTTCCTATTTTCCTATATGGAGCAGAAACGTGGACGATCCATCAAAAATGTCGTAAAAAGATTGACGCCCTTGAGATGTGGTGCTGGAGACGCTTGCTGAGGGTAAAATGGACTGCTCACCGCACTAATGTATCCATCCTCAAAGAGCTCCAAATCAAACAAAGGCTTTCGTCGATTGTGCAATTGCGAATCCTTAATATGTGTGGACATATCATTCGTAATGAAAGCTCATTGGAACGTTTAGTGGTTCAAGGAAGAGTAGACGGTTAACGCTCTCGCGGCCGATCATCCACAAGGTGGACAGACTTGGTTAAGTTATCTACGAAGTGTTCCCTTACTGAGTGTACACGTACCGCCACAAATAGAGAAAGACGGAGAAGTCTCTCAAAAGCTGCAACCAAACATTAAGACTTACGTAACCACGACCACTCCGCCAGGAGTGAACGACTGAGAAGAAGAATTTCATAGGCAAAAAAAATACGCGCTAAAATGATGTTTATAAGGGCAACTATTATCTATGGATGAAACTAGGGATAGGCCGATTTTGCATTAAAATGTATTATGTTTTAAATAAATTAATACATAAGCGCGAATATGATTAGTGGGTTAGGCCACTTTTGCGCTGACGGCCTCAATTATGGGAGGTAATGACATTTCTGAGTACAAATTTGCAGTGCACAAATCTACAACACACGTCCGAAATTGAGAGTCTCCTCCTTTCTAATTAAAGTGTGTTAAAAACAAAAAACAAAAAACGTTCTAAAGTCACGTGCAGAAGGCCATCGAAATATCTCGGTGGATAAACGTTTGCAATAACACATATTTAAATCAAAACGAAACGAGATGTGAACACGAATTATCGGTGTGAAACGCGTGTTCGAAAATGAATTGAATGAATGGAAAACTGTCACAATAGGATGCCGCAATAGGCCGGCTTAATTGAACTTACGGGTCCAATGGCGTTCGGTTTCAATTATATTCGCTCTTTTAATATTTTTTTCCTCGTGTCGGTTGGGTCGTAGGGTTGAGCGGTAATTGTTTTTGAAGGAAAACATCTTTACGCGCGCTTGCCTTGGGGAGTGAGTTGGTGAGTGCGTGACGTGAGCGTTACGAAAAGTGTGATCGGGCGAGGCGAACGGAAGTTGAGAGCTAGAGATATAGGTTAGTGAAGATAGAAGATTTTCACTGGTGGTAGGACCTTTTGTGAGTCCGCACGGGTAGGTACCACCACCCCGCCTATTTCCGCCGTAAAGCAGTAATGCGTTTCGGTTCGAAGGGTGGGGTAGCCGTTGTAACTATACTGAGACCTTAGAACTTATATCTCGAGGTGGGTGGCGCATTTACGTTGTGGATGTCTATGGGCTCCAGTAACCACTTAACACCAGGAGGGCTGTGAGCTCGTCCATCCATCTAAGCAATAAAAAAAATAAAAAAAAGAAAGAGAGAGAGCTAAGTTTCGTATATCTCAGACACAGTGCAGGTCTATTCTCTCTATCACACTGTAGGAGAGAGAGAGCAATGCGCTCTTGTTTCTTGCTTCAAACCGTAATGCGTTACTGCTCCCCGGCAGATAGTCTGTTAGTAAGGGGCCCGTTTATCGTACTGAACAATCAAAAATATACCGACCTTCCTGAGCTGTAAGTACCAGTTCTATATCGTTCACGTGTAATATTAAATCTAAAGTAATAAAACCCTCTACTAAAACTAACCTAACTTCTTTTATCCCTACTTAATTCAAATCGAAGCCAAGATCGTCGTGTAAGTCGACGTTCCTCACAAACCAGTGTGATTGGTGATTAGCCCACTGAGTTTCTCGCCGGATCTTCTCAGTGGGTCGCGTTTTCGATCCGGTGGTATATTCTGCGAAGCTCGGCTCTTACTAGGGTTCGTGTTAGCAACATCGTCAGGTTTGAGTCCCGTGAGCTCACCTATTAGCCCGGTGACGCTGATATGGTCTCTCTAGACCATCATCTCAGGTAGAAAAAAAGAAGCTTAGTGCGAGTTTTAAGTTAATTTAAATTTGTATGCAGTTGCAACAGCGCCCCTAGCGGCGTAAGCACACGTTCCAACTTCATACAAATTTGAGTTAACTTTTACGCTATCGAGAACGATAAAATACTCGCACTAAGCACACAGGTCCGTCGGGCTTGTGAAGCCTATTTAAGTGAAAACCTTTTCGTCTTGATTTTGAATTAAGTACGGTGTTCGATACAATTACCATTATTTTATTGTTTTATTAATATACTAGCGACCCGCCCTCGCTTCGCTTCGGAAAAAGTAATTTATTATTGATATCGCCACTATTTAATGGATGTTATTATACATATAAACCTTCCTCTTCAATCTCTCTATCTATTAAAAAAAACCGCATCACAATCCGTTGCGTAGTTTTAAAGATTTAAGCATACATAGGGACAGATATAGGGACAGAGAAAGCGACTTTGTTTTATACTATGTAGTGATTAAAATATAATTGTATAACCGCAGAACTTTCAAAATACTATGATCTAAAAATTAGAAAGAAATTTGAAGGCAACCCTAAAGTATTCGCGTTCGCATCATCGTTTCACCGC